TCCAGCTTAGTGGTAGTGTGCTTGTCTGGCATGCACAGGACCTTGAGATCAGCGCTCAACATTGCAAAAGGAGGAAGGGGCATCAATTTAGTAGGATTTGCTTTTATTCTAAAAACCTTTTGTTAATGGGAGAAGGAATGTTGTATTTTTTTTAAAAAAAACATGGCTTTTGCTTTGTACTAGATGAACTAGAGAGTTCTCAGTGGTTGTTAGTAAACCTTTAGATGTCATTGTTGCAGTACAGACAATGTGACTATGATATATATTTTTAATTAGGCAGTAAAATCAACAAGGCTAAGTGATTATGACTAATATATGTGGTTGTAATAAGCAAACTAGGATAACTTAAAGCAGTACTGAAAATAAGACATGTCAATAAGTGTTAATTTGTTGTTTTACCATGGCTAGTGGTTGATTGGATTTAATACAAATTATAATACTAATGAATTTTGGTATTGTATAATGCATAACTAGATGGACATGCACCAGAGAATTGGAGAAAGGTTTATAATTTGTTATTGTCAAGTTGGGGTGTCAGTGGGACTTTGCAGTATATATGGTTAGTATACAGATCTGGAGAGTTGTGGGTTAGAAGTGTAAACTTGTGAATTATCTGCATTTGAAACTATGAAGAGTTGAGAGTCTAGGATAAAGGCTGCAATGAGCCTGTGAACGAGATGAGAAATGAATGGCCAGAAGAACAGGAGAAAAATGTAAGAATTTTGAAAATCATGGAAGAAATAGTTTCAAAAAGAGGATTGCCAATTTTGAAGCTAATGAGAGGTCAAAGTAAGAACATAACTAAAGCTGACAGAATGTAGCCACGAGGGATTTGCTGACTGTCATGAGTTATTTGGATGGAGAGACAGATGGGAATCAGACAGGTATGAGTTGAACTAAATAAGATTTGAAATAGAGATAGCTTTTTTTAGATATGATCCTGAAGGGATTGAGGCAGTCAAATGAAGCTTGCTTGTTTGGATTTATTTGTTTAAATTAGTAGAATATAAAATATTTTTAAAACTAGTGTCATTTGAGATGTAAAGGTTGACCATATGAGGAATAGAATGGACAGTTAATAATTTCTGATTTGAGATCCAAAATAATTGTGATTAATTTCAGTTGGAGGGGTCAATTCCTTTTCTGAAGTAGGAAGAAAGAAAAATTTATATTGGTGATGTGGAATCAGAAAACCAGAAGATTCTATCCAGAGACTTATGTGATAGGATCATGTGCTATCATGGAAGAGGAAGAAGATGAAATGAAAAATGAAAAAACATTCATTGCAAATGGCATAGTGACTGATTGGGTTTTTTGATGTTATAAATTTATAATAGATATTTTTCCTTTACTGGCTTTTAGAACCTTGCCTTTTCTGATCTCATCCTACTCTTCAATCATATGTTCATTTAGCCAATTTTGTAGTAGTGTTTTTTGTATCATTTTGTTAAAATCATTTCATCTGAAAGAAAGTATTTTGAATTCATCTGTCTTCTTCCTAATTTTGCCTTATGAGAGGGGCCAAATCTAAGTTAAAACTTTTAGAGCATTACTGTTTTAATGGTAAGATTTCTCTGATAAGAAGTATGTTCTTCTTGAAGCTTCCATCTGCTAAGCAGGACTGTTAAGGTGTGTGTTATTGTAGGCTCCATGAGTTGGGCTTACACCCAACTATTCGTCTTTTATCCCTTCTAGGATATGTGGATGTCGATAACTGGGGTGTTTACAGGTGATTTTAAGGCCTTGCTACCTTGGCTTCTCAAGCAAAGCCTCATTTTTCAGCTTTGTTTTACCAGTGCATATGGGGGATCACCAAGAACTTGATCCTCATTTGGCATTGTGTTTTATTGTGTCTTACTTGGGTTTCGATCTTCATAATAGCTCCCTATGTTGAGAATTTCAGAGAGCTGTTACAATTTAGGCACTGAAGCACTAACACAAGTTAACTGGACCAGGTAACTGTCTTTTTTTGTTGTTTGTTTGTTCGTCATGGGGCTTGAACTCATGCCTGGGTGCTGTCCCTGAGCTCTCAAGGCTAGCACTCTACAATTTTGAGCCACAGCTCCACTTCCCATTTTCTGGTGGTTAATTGAAGATAAGAATCTCATGGACTTTCCTGCCTGAACTGGCTTTGAACTGTGATCCTCAGATCTCAGCCTCCTGATTACAGGTGTGATTACAGGTGTGAGCCATTGGCACCCAGCCATAACTGTCATTTTATTTCTAAGTTTGCCTCATCTTTTGGATTTTCTTTAAAACAACACTACCACCACCAGAACAGGGACTGCTTTGTTCTATCTTCAGTACTTAGTGAAGCTTCTCTTCTCTGTCAATAACTATTCTTTTTTCTATCCACCACTTTAGGAGGTTATTTAAATTTTTATTCCAGAAAGCTGTGATATGGGTAGATATGTGTTAAATCAACATAGGCCTTAAGACATTAACTACAGGCTGGAAGTTCAACTTCTGTTTCTCATCTCAGATTTATGACTTTGGTGGTGGTGGTGGTGGTGGTAGTGGTGGTGGTGGTGGTCATGGAGCCTGAACTCTGGACCTGGGCGCTGTCCCTAAGCTTTCAGCTCAAGGCTAGCACCCTACCACTTGAGCCACAGCACTACTTTCAGGTTTTTTCTGCTTATGTGATGCTGAGGAATCGAACCTAGGGCCTCATGCATCTGAGACAAGCACTCTACCACTGAGCCAACTTCCCAGACCAGATTTATGACTTATCCATAGCTCTTGAATATTCTGCAGTGAACCAAATGACAGAACTTAAGCCACCATATCTGATTCCATTCTAGCAACATAAAACCTTCCAAATTTAGCATGTCAGTTCTCTCCCTCTGACTTAAAAGGCAAATAAGTTCTAAATACCTGTTCTCGTTTCTTATATGACACAGCCTCCTCATCAGAAAGCTCTTGCTCAGGATAGCTCTTTCAGCAGCTGCAGGCTAAACTATCTTCTGGTGAAACATATTTAGTTAGTGTGACAGATCCAAAGCTAAATTCTCCATTTCAGGATAGTTGGTCCCACACCTTTTCTGTATGACATGGGGCCTTAAAATGTTTAAAAATAGCACAGTGTTGCTCCAGAAAACTGAAAATAGATAATTCCATCTCTGTAGTACACTTCACAAATACTAACAGATTATTATATAGTCTAGGTCATGTTATTTCTGGCCAAAAACAGAACAGAAACTTCTTGGTAACAGATGGTTATCAAAGAAAATGAGAAAAGCAAATCTTGGCTTTGGCCTTAACAGGTTGCCATCTATGTTACTATCTATGGTTTACTGATAGTCAAACTCAACTCAGCTGGGTAGAATTCTCTACCAGGAGCTTAGTGGGACTATTTACCCTCTATGTAAAGACCACATATATGTATATTGTGCTTCGCTAACAAATTCCTTTGGGGGCACAAAATGTTAGAAAATTTTCAGAGTGATAGAATCAGCCACTAGGTCATGTACAGTTTTCTTTTTCTCCCCATTGTCCATCATATATATTTATAGGTTAATTTAAACTTGCTCTTTGGACCCTGTGTTCTTGACAACTAATGCTGAATAAGGCTTGTCTAATGACAGAGCTTGAAGGAAGAGTGATCCACATTAGTTGCAGGCAATTCTGGAAAGCACAATTTGCAGCCTTACATTCTATACAGTTTTAGTCTCCTGATTGTTCTTCATCTTTGTGCCATATGATTCTATCCTGGTCTGAAGTTACTCATATCTATGAATCCTGTTTGGGGGAGTCTTTTCTCTCACCTTCATTTGTGTGTAGCTGAAAAATGGCCAATAACATATTTCTTTAAGGTCTGTGGTTCCATAGGAGCCAGTTTGACTGTTTTAGCATTTCAATTTTCCCTATCTTGCCAACTCAGCAGCAGATGTTTCTCTTACCTATTTATAACAAAATGGGCTATTTATTTGCATCTATTATCCCTTTCAGGCATCCTTTGCTGACTAGTGGACCTGCTTCTAAATAGCTTCTTTTTCTATCTTAAAAAGTTGACATTGCTTAGATAAAAATACTTACCTTCCTTCCTCTTTTAATTTGGACATAAATGTTTGTGTGTGTATGTGTGCATATGTGTGTGTGTGCATATGTGTGTGTGTGTGGAGACAGAGAGAGAGAGAGAGAGAGAGAGAGAGAGAGAGATTGTTAGTACTCAGAAAGGCTACTGACTTCTGTGGGTTGAGTTTTGTATCCTGCTACTTCACCTAAGTTATTGATCATCTCTAGGAGCTTGGTGATGAGTTTCCCAGGTCCTTAAGATATAAAACCATGTCCTCTCAGGAAGGGGTGCCATCAAAAACAAAAAACCACTGCTTACCTGACTTTGAAATGGTCACCCCTCTGTACAACACCATAATAATAACAGTAAAATTATTTTAAAAAATTATGTCTGCAGCCAGGTGTTGTTGCCTCATACCTGTAATTCTAGCTGCTCAGCAGGTTGAGATCTGAGGATCATGGTTCAAAGCCTGGCCAGGAAGGAAAGTCCATGAAACTTATCCCTGATTAACCACCGGAAAAAAATCCAGAAGTGGCCCTGTGGCTCCAAGTTGTAGAGCACTAGCCTTGAGCAAAACAGCTCAGAGACAGCGCGCCCAGGCCCTGAGTTCAAGTCCCATGACCAACAACAACAACAAAAAATCATGCCTGCAGATGGGGATAGTTTAACTTCTTTCTCTATGTATATTCTTTTTATGTTTTTCTCTTGCCTAATTGCTCCAGCTAAGAGTTCCAGAATTATATTGAAAAGAAGTGAAAAGAATGGACATCCTTGCCTTGTTCCTGATTTTAAAGGAAATGGTTTTAGTTTTTCACCATTTAGTATGTTGTTGGCTGTTGTCTGGCATATATATCCTTTATTATTTTGAGGTAGGTTCTTTCTAATCTTAGCTTCTCCAGAGCTTTAAATGGGTATGGATGCTGAATTTTACCAAAAGCTTTTTCTGCATCTATGGAGATAATTATGTGATTCTTGTCTTTGGCTTTATTGATGTGATACATTGCTTTTATTGACTTACATATATTAAACCAGCCTTGCATCTCTGGGATAAAACCTACCTGATCATAGTGCATAATTCTTGTGATTAGTTGCCAAATTCTGTTGGCAAGTACTTTATTGAAGAGCTTTGCATCTGTGTTCATCAGAGAGATTGGTCCATAGTTCTTTTTTCATTGGATCCCTACTTGGTTTTGGGATGAATGTAATGCTGGCTTTATAAGATGTGTTTGCAGTTGATCCTTCTGTTTTTATGTCAGGAAATCTTACATTTAAACATTTTTGGTTAATATGCTTTGGGTGCAATTAGAAAATATTTGGCAGATGTGGAAGTCCGTAAACTAAGAAAAATGTGCAAAGAAAATGTCAACTAAATAGCAACTGGAATTTTAACTGTCTGCTAAAGAAGAAAGAAGACAAAAAGAAGCATAATAAATAGTATAACAGAAGATGGCATATATAAAACTAAATGTTATATTAAACTTGAATAATAAACTAAATCCTACTAAAAATAGGGATAACTTCAAAATCAACCTTAGTCTATTTTTTGCTGTAGTATAATAGAATACCACAAACTAGGTAATTTATAAACAATAGTTTATTTGATTCATGGTTCTAGAGGCTGGTAAGTTCAAGAACATGTTACCAGTATTTCTCCGTGACCTTCATGTTCTGTTATACCATGGTAGAAGGCAGAAAGGCAAGATGCAAAGACAAGAAACTTGTCAAACCTTACCCTTTTTGTCAGGAAACCACTTCCATAATAACTGAGGGCAGAGTCCTCATAACCTAATCATCTTTTAAAAGGCCTACCCTCTTAATATCAATTAAAATAGCAATTAAATTTCAACTGAGATTTGGAGGAAACATTCAAACCATAGCAGTCATATAAACCTATGCTGTTTATAAAAGATAAAGATTCAAAACCTGAGATTAATAAAGATATAGTAAATGTGGTAGGACATGAACAGAGGAATTGCAAGTTTTTCCCCCTTAAGTTTAATATGTGAATGTGTACTGCTCCAAAGCTAATGCTTTTTGTTGTTTTAGGTTATATTACCCTAGTTTCAAGGAATTGTTACATTTCATATCTCCAGTCTACCTGGGTATCTGTCTGTCTGTGAAAATATACATCTTTCATTAGTAAGAGGTAAAATTATAGGTGAGTCCTGACTCTTGCAGCATAGTTAAATAAATGTACCATTTGTACACAAATGTTCCTTCCTACTTCATCCCCACACATACAGTAACATTAATATGTACATACAGATTAATCTTAGATTAAAATGTACTCACTTTTACCTTAAAAAAAATAGAGACCCCTCTTTGGGCCCCTCTCCAGTTGGAGAGTCATACTACTTTCATGGCTTTCCTTTCAATTTCATATAAACTTACTCTTTTTACCTTGACCGATGAAGAGAGGAAAGGAGGTGGGGATGAAATCATAACATTTAATGCATATCTGCAAAATTCAGAAAATTGAAGGAAGGGATGTTGGGAAGGATGGGGGAGAATGATGAAAGAGGTGATGAGGACGTATATTAATGAACTACTTACGTTTAAAGCTCGCTAGATACTTTTTCTTTTTTAACATTTTTATTGTTATCTTTAAGTAGTTGTACAAAGAAGTTCCCATTCTACAAAACAGTATATGAATAAATATCTTTAGTACCTATAAATTTATTCTACTTTCAAACCTCAAGTTTCTGGATTTAAAAAAAAATTAGTCTGCTAGCCTATGGCTCTTTTACCAAATCTTCAAGTAATATCTAAAAACTATGAAGTAGTACTGTAAAATGCTTGCTATTTAATAAAATAGTTAAATTTGTATATGTAATACCTGCTGAGCTACTGAGCCTTTTTTTAGATTTATGAGTGACAGTTTTACTCTTCAGTATATTTGTTAATGCCTCCTATTTCCAGTGCCTAGGAGAATGCTTTTTAATACTTTGTAGGCACTCAAATAAGTCTAACCTTTAGCTTCATTAAGTATTTTATTGAAAAAATTATTTTAATTTGTAAGGGCTACAATAATCCTTTAAAAAAATTTTAATCAAGGACTGGGGGATGTTACTCTAGTGGTAGAATTCTTGCCTAGCAAGCTCAAGGGTCTGAGTTCAATTTGTAATACCAAAGAATGAATGAATGAAATTTTCCAACTTCTTAGATTATTTACTCTAGACCTATCTTATTTCAACAGCCTAAAGTGACAACACGTTAGCTGTGGTCAGAAAACCAGATTTGAGACTGGTTGCTATCCAGTTTCCATTAGACATGTTTGAAAGAAGAGATATTTAAGGGAAGATTAATGAAAGGATAGTTAGTCATCTACTCTGTGTATTCTGCATTATAGCTATTTCAGCTTAGATCTGTCAAGGCTACTTTCTTGGGAAATGTTGTATATGTTATATATGTTTTATATCATATTAAGGTTATATAGATACAAAACAATTGTTATGTTTGAAAAAATTGTCAAAGGCACTGCTATTATGTCATTTAGCTTTTGTCAGAAAAGTCCACCAAGCCGGGTGCCGGTGGCTCACGCTTGTAATCCTAGCTACTCAGGAGGCTGAGATCTGAGGATCATGGTTCAAAGCCAGCCCGGGCAGGAAAGTCCATGAGACTCTTATCTCCAATAAACCACTAGAAAACTGGAAGTGGTGCTGTGGCTCAAGAGGTAGAGTGCTCCCCTTGAGCTGAAGAGCTCAGGGCCAGCGCCCAAACCCAGAGTTCAAGCCCCACGACCGACAAAAAAGAAGAAGGAGAAGGAGAAAGAAAAAGAAAAAAGAAACTCCTTAGACCTTGTGCCAGGAAAAAAAAGTTTTGGCTTCCTTGAAGTAGCCTTTTTGTTTTTAACTATGAAGAACATTTTCTCCCTGACTTTTGGGAAGTTTAATCCAGATTTTGGTGCCACTTGATAGCAACTACCTCCAGAGTATCTTCAAAACAAGTTCTATGGTGGAAAAAGAAGGGATTTATTAAGTTAAAAACACTGGTAAATAGTGATGTGGTTAGCAACTGTTTTATATGTATTGCCAACTAGGCCTAGTGAGTCCTTTTTAATTTAAGTATTTTCCTTTTTGATTAGAAAACATTGTGTGATGTAATCCTCATGGTCCAGGACAGAAAGATCCCTGCACATCGTGTTGTCCTCGCTGCAGCCAGTCATTTCTTTAACTTAATGTTCACCAGTAAGTATCTTAAGGTAAAAAGAATGCTTTTCTTTTCTCTTTAAGAATTAGGTGGACTCCAAGTTAAAAAAAAAGATACAATCTAGCTAGTTAGACTTTAAAAAGAAAGAAAAATGAAATATAGCATATTATAGTGATCACAACACCTAGATTTGGGTGTATGTTCTAAATCCTCTACTTAGTTCTGTTATATGATCTTAATCAGGTTAAATAACATACCTGTCTGAAGTTTTCTCTTTGGTGTTCTAGCTACCTACAAAAATTCCTAGAAGAAATAACAGCTTTGTATACAATATATCATTGTTCCATATATTTATGCAATCATTGTTCTCATAAATTTGTTGGAGCTACATCAGGCATTTTGCTTGTAACAATTTAAGAGTACTACTAAATTATTTTGAGATTGGAAAAACTGAATCTAGTTTAGATGCTGTGGGTTTCTCAGTTAAATTTGTGGTGACCCTGATGCCATTTTTGTTTCTCTACTTCAATTTTAGCTAACATGCTTGAGTCGAAGTCCTTTGAAGTAGAACTTAAAGATGCTGAACCTGACATTATTGAACAACTTGTGGAATTTGCTTATACTGCTAGGTGAGTTAAGGATTGTTTCTGTTTTAGAAGAGTAATAATACCATAGCAAAGAATGCTCCAAATTCTTCAGAATGAAAAGCTATAAAGGTGGACGAGTTTGCGAATCCCATACCTTACTAGGATTCTACAGTAGCATTATTTAATAAAAAATTACATGAAATTAATATTCAGTTTAACTTATTTGCAGGATTTCTGTGAATAGCAACAATGTTCAGTCTTTGTTAGATGCAGCAAATCAGTACCAGATTGAACCTGTGAAGAAAATGTGTGTTGAATTTTTGAAAGAACAAGTTGATGCTTCAAATTGTCTTGGTAAGAAATACCAGATTCGGATTTGGGGTTTTTATTTAGTTTTGTTTTACTCCTCATTGTGTCTTTCAGTAAAGAAAAATGTAATGATAAGCCTTCCTCCTCTAGGACATTTTGGTGTTCCTTTCTGCACATACTGGCACTGTGGGCACAGAGGGGAACTAGAAAGCAAGTAAAAGGAAGCAGATTAATTTCAGAAAAAAATAATAAAATATAGGCAAAGGGGATAAAATTGAGAATGTCCTAATGTCCAGAAAAAAGGAACTGGACTAAATGGAGAAGGAAGGAAGACAGCTATGCAAATGAACAGACTGATGGAATTTCTTAAATGGCAATTTTTATCAATTCTCTGGTGATTAGATTAGTCAAGACTTACATAAAGCTGGGGGAAACCTAGTAGTTTGATGCTTAATCATGCTAAACAACCTAAAAGAATGGCTCCTGTTGGCAAATGCAATGTAAGAAATGGAAAGAGCATTTCCAATGTAAGAAAAAGAAAGGATGCATTTGAACAGGAAAACCTTCATAATTTTATATTTTTGACTTTCAATCAAATTAAAAACAATAGATACAAGACTCAAACTAAGGAAGATCAGACAGGGAACATTGCTTCATGATACCAAACAAATAGCAAAGAAAAAGTCATTTGTGTAAGTATGGAAGACTTGAGAGGAAGACATGAACACTAATGTGAAGAAATAGGAGTTTCAGAAGAATCAGTTGGAAGAAAAGGAAGAATCAAACTTTTTTGGCTTAAAAAAATTAACTTTTGCCGGGCGCCGGTGGCTCACGCCTGTAATTCTAGCTACTCAGGAGGCTGAGATCTGAGGATCACAATTCAAAGCCAGCCCAGGCAGGAAAGTCCGTGTCACTCTTATCTCCAATAAACCACTAGCAAACTGGAAGTGGCGCTGTGGCTCAAGTGGTAGAGCACTCACCTTGAGCTGAAGAGCTCAGGGACAGCACCCAAGCCCAGAGTTCAAGCCCCACGACTGCCAAAAAAAAAAATATATATATATATATATATTTTTTTTTTTACTTCTGTACTGGTGGTTCATGCCTGTAATCCTAGCTACTCAGGAGGTTAAGATCTGAGGATCATAGTTCAAAGTGAAACCAAGCAGGAAAGTCTATGAGACTCTTATCTCCAATTGACCCACAGAAAATCATAAATGGTTCTGTGGCTCAAAATGGTAGAGCACTAGCTTGTGCAAAAAAGCTCACAGACAGCACCCAGGGCCTGAGTTCAAGCTTCATGACTGAAAAAATTAACTTTTAGGCTGTTATACTCAGGCCTGATCAGTGGACTAAGGTATTCCTTTCTTACATATATCCTAGTGATATTTTTTTATTTCCAGTTATTGGTAATTACATTTAGGTTGGTGGCTTAACATTGTAACTGTACAAAATGGAATGAAACCTCTGAGACTTTAGACCTATAAAATCTTTTCTCCTTTAAGTTATTGATAGCAAGGGTTTTTTTTTGTTTGTTTTATTTTGGGTGTTTTTTTTTTTTACAGTGATGAAGGGCTATCTAATAGCCTTCCTTATCTATATACCTTTTTGCAATGTGATTTTGTAGTTCCTAAGTAATGGAGTCTGTTTTCCCTCCTTATAATCTAGGTGCTGCCTCTTGACTTACTTTAGCCTTGAAAATGTGCATTGGGCCTTTCCTACTTTAGCTGCCATGAACTGTTTTGCTGCCACAACATGAAGGCTAGTCTAGTTAGGACACAGATGAGTTGCTCTAACTGACCTCCACAAGACCAACCATCACGCCTATTACCTGGTATGTGAATGAAGCTAGTTTAAACTGTCCACCCCATCCAGACAACCAGTTGACAATAGAAATGAGCCAAGCTAGCCCAGATTAAAAGAGTTGCCACTTGCCCCACAGAATTACAATAATAAAATCTGCAGCCCCAAATTATAAGGTAACAGTACAAGATTTGCAAATACAAGTAAAGAATTATGCTATAAGATATTATTCATTTATGATATTAATGAAAATGTATAACCATATATATATGTATGTATACATTCTAAAAAAATACTAAGAAAAAATTCAAGAAGTACTACAACCAAATGAAGGATAGAATTTAAGATAATACTGTTCTGGTTCATAGTTGCAAGCAAAATAAGCTTGCTGGTTTAAATAGAAAGGAATTGTATTGAGCCACTAACAGCTAAAGAATTACTTAGAAATTGCAAAATCTTAGAAAAAGTAGAAAACTTTTGAATAACAAAATTTTTAGATAATTATGTAATGTCTTACCCTGTGATGAAAGAATACAAATTCTTTTCATATTTACTTGGAGTACTTACAAGTTCTTGTCACCAGCAACAGAAAATCTGGAGCTCCTTAGAAAACAAGAGAAACAGGCCCCATCCTTTAAGTACAGTATAATAAAAGTAGAAATTTACCATAAGGGAACATCTGTTTTCTCAGTCCTTTTCTCAGCACTTGGAAATTTAACTGAAGAATTATTTAGAAAATTTTTGTCTTCAGAAAAAGAGCAACAAGCTAAACCCCAATCCAGTAGATGGAAACAAATAATTAAAATTAGATGAATTAGAGTCCAAAAACACCATTGAAAGAAACAACAAAACAGAGTTGGTTCTTCAAAAAAATTAACAAAATTGACAGAGCCTTAGCAAATCTGATCAGGAAAAGAAGAGAACACACCCAGATAAATTCAGAGCTGCGACTGGAAACATCACCACAGAAACAACCAAGATTCAGAACATTATAAGGGAATAATTCTCAAACCTTTATGCTAATAAGTTTGAGAATCTGGAAGAAATGGAAAAATTTCTAGCAAAGATTGACATGCCCAAACTAAACCAAGGTGAGTTAAATCAACTTAACAGACCCATATCAAGCATCAAAATAGCAATAAGAGTCCTCGCACCCAACAAAAGCCTAGGACCGGATAGATTTACAGCTGAATTCTATAAGTTCTTCAAAGCAAAACTCACGTCAATACTCCTCCAACTCTTCAATGAAATTGAAAGTCAGAGTTCACTACCAAACTCTTATGAAGCCATCATAACCCTCATCCCAAAACCAGGCAGGGACGCATCAAAGAGAAAGACGCTGGTAGCTCATGCCTATAATCCTAGCTATGCAGGAGGCTGAGATCTGAGGATCACAGTTCAAAGTCATCCCGGGCAGGAAAGTCCATGAAACTCTTTATCTCCAGTAAACCACCAGAAAACCAGAAGTTGCACTGTAGCTCAAGTGGTAGAGTGCTAGCCTTGAGCTGAATTGCTGAGGGACAATGTTCTGGCCCAGAGTTCAATCCCCATGACCGACCAAAAAAAAAAAAAGGTAAAACAAATAAGAACTATAGACCCATTTCTTTCATGAACATCAAAATTTTGGCCAATCGACCTTAACAACTCAACAAAAAGATCATATACCACAATCAAACAATTCATTTCAGGGATGCAAAGCTGGTTCAATCTACGCAAATCAATATAACTCATCACATCAACAAGAGCAAGGATAAGAACCACATGATTATCTCAATAGATGCAGAAAAAGTATTCAACAAGATCTAACACCCCTTTATGATGAAAGCTCTGGAAAAACTAGTAATCCATGGAACATTTCTCAATATAATAAAGGCTGTATATGACAAACCTGCAGCCAGCATTATACTTAATGGTGAAAAGCTAAAGCCATTTCCTTTAAATTCAGGAATGTGACAAGGATGTCCACTCTCTCCATGTCTCTTCAATTTAGTTTTAGAATGCTGAGCTAGAGCAATAAGACAAGATAAGATGCAAACATAAAGGGGATCCAAATAAGGAAAGATAAAGTAAAACTCTCCCTCTTTGCTGATAACATGATCTTGTATTTAAAGAACCCCATGGACTCCACTACCAAGTTACTCGAGCTGATCTGAAACTTGGGCAAAGTAGCAGGGTATAAAATTAACCCTCAAAAATCAATGGCTTTTCTGTATGCCAATAATAAGAAGAGTGTGACTGAAATTGGGAAAGCAACTCCTTTTGTAATAGCCCCACAAAAAAAAGAAAATACCTGGGAGTTAACTAAAGAAGTGAGGGACCTCTGTAATGAAAACTTTAAAAACCTGAACAAGGGAATTAAAGGAGAATGAAGGAAGTAGAAAAACCTCCCATACTCCTGATTGGAAGGATCAACATCATGAAAATGGCAATACTGCCAAAGGCTAGCTACATATTCAGTGTGATACCTATCAATATCCCAATCTCACTCTTCAATGAAATACAAGAAGCATCCCAAAAATTCATAGGGAACAATAAAAGACCCCGAATAGAAAAACCAGTCCTCAGCAGAAAGAACAGTGTTGGAAGAATATCAATGCCAAGTTTCAGACTCTATTACAAAGCCATAGTAATCAAAACAGCTTGGTACTGGCACAAGAACAGACCTGGAATAGAAGACCAGTGGAATAGAACTGAAGATCCAGAAATGGACCCACAGACCTATAGCCACTTAATCTTCGATAAGGGAGCTAAAAAAAATAGAATGGAAGAAAGACAGCCTCTTCAGTAAATGGTGCTGGCAAAATTGGTCAAACACCTATAGAAAACTAAAGCTAAAAGAAAACTAAAACTAGATTCTTATATATCACCCTCCACCAGAATCAACTCCAAATGGATCAAAGACCTCAAAGTAAAAGCAGACACCCTGAAAACATTACAGGAAGGAATAGGAGAAATATCGAGGGCTCCTTGGCACAGGCCAAAATTTTCTTAATGAAGACCCAGAAACACAACAAATAAAGGTTGGACAAATGGGATTGCATGAAACTGCAGAGCTTCTGCATGGCAAAAGACATAGCCCAGAAAGATCAATAGAAAGCCCACAGATTTGGAGAAGATCTTCACTAGCCATACAACAGACAAGGGTCTCATATCTAAATATACTTAGACCCCTTAATAGATGAATGGATCAAGAAAATGTGGTCTATTTATACAATGGAATTCTATGCCTCCATCAGAAAGAATGACATTGCCCCATTTGTTAGGAAATGGAAAAGACTTGGAAAAAACTATATTAAGTGAAGTAAGCCAGGCCCAAAGAAACATAAGTCCCATGGTGTCCCTTATTTGCAGTAACTAGTGTAAGTCTATGACAAGCAGAAATGGTCAAAAGCTATGTACACATGATCATATAAGATGATGCTAAGTGAAATGAACCCTAAGATAGGGCCACAAGTGGTTTTTTCTTAATTGTTATTGTTTTTAACGTATTTTAAATGTACAGTGTGATTTTTTTGTTTCTCTTGTATGTTCTTCCCCCATGGTATAACCCATTTTCACTGTATTTGATGTCAGTGCCTTGCATCTTGTATATACATTTTTCTAATTTGAGGAGGGGAAGGAATATAACAAAATGCTGAAATAAGAATACAGGTTGCGGGGCTGGGAAGATGGCTCAGTGGTAGAGCGCGAGGCCCTGGGTTCGATTCCTCAGCACCACATAAGCAAAAAGAAAAAAGCCGGAAGTGGCGCTGTGGCTCAAGTGGTAGAGTGCTAGCCTTGAGCTCAAGAGCTGAGGGACAGCGCCCAGGCCCAGAGTTCAGGCCCCACAACCGGACCAAAAAAAAAAAAAAAAGAATACAGGTTGCCCGACAAAAAAATAAAATAAATAAAATATATTTAGAACTCAAAAAGTTAAATCCCCCAACAACTAATCCTCAAAGAAACAATCTCCCAATTAATAAGTGGGCTAAAGACTTAAAGAGAGACTTCTCTGAAAAAGAAATAAGAATGGCCAATAGACACATGAAGAAATGTTCAGTTTTTCTAGCCATAAAAGAAATGCAAATCAAAACAATATTAAGATTCCATCTCACCCCAGTTAGAGTGGATATGATCAAGAAATCTAATAACAACAGATGCTGGAGGGGATGTGCCCAAAAGGGAACCCTACTGCATTGTTGGTGGGAGTGTAAACTTGTTCAACCACTTTGGAAAGCAGTATGGGGATTCCTTAAAAGACTACATATAGAGCTCCCCTATAACCCAGCAATTCCACTTCTGGGCATTTACTCAAATGATCACAAACAAGGCCATACTAAAGCTACCAGCACAACTATATTTATTACAGCATTATTCACCATAGCTAAGATATGGAACCAACCCAGATGCCCCTCAGTAGATGAATGCATCAAGAAAATGTGGTATATTTATACAATGGAATTTTATGCATCCATCAGAAAGAATGACACTGCCCCATTTGTTAGGACATGGAAAGACTTGGAAAAAATTATACTAAGTGAAGTAAGCCAGACCCAAAGAAATATAGGTTTGCAATAACTAGTATATGTCTAGGACAAGCAGAAAAGGTCAAAAGCTATGTACATATGACCATATAAGATGATGCTAAGCAAAATGAATCCCAGGATAGGGATACAACTTTTTTTTTCCTTGCTATTGTTTTTAACATATCTAAAATGTACTATGTGATTCTTTTTGTTTCTTTTGTATGTCTTCCCCCATGGTATAACCCCTGTTCTCATTGTATTTGATTCCCATGCCTGGCATCTTGTATATACATTTTTCTAATTTGGGGAGGGGAAGGGAAATACCAAAATTCTGAAATAAGCATACAAGCTGACCCATTGTAACAATGAAATGTACAAGACACTATGTTGAAAATGAACTTTTTGGCAGGGGTGGGGGGGATAAGAGGGGTTTGGAGGTGGGGAGGGAGGGATGGTAGGGGAAAAACAAAGGAGGGGGTAAAAATGCTCGATAGGAAATGTACTCACTACCTTACTCATGTAACTGTAACCCCTCTGTACAGTCTTTACAATAAAAAATATTTTTAAAATTGCCAATTATTTTAGCCAATAAACAGGGCTTAAATGGCCGTAGTCATAGCTATGTGCTTTATTCGAGACTAATAAACTCAGTAAGTTAATAATAGTTTTAAAAAAAGAAAATATTTATCTCCTTTTTTTTATGCTAGGGATTGACCTAAAACTAAAGTTTTAGGCCCCTGGCTCAAACTCTAAGGTCAGATGTCATATCCAGCTGCTCATCTCTATATGCAAATAAAGGGACTGGTGGACTGGGCACTAGTGGCTCATGTTTATAATCCTAGTCACTCAGGAGGCTGAAATCTGAGGGTTATAGTATGATGCCAACCTCAGCAGAAAAATCTGTTAGACTCATCTCCAATTAACTAGCAAATAGCCAGAAGGAGAGCTGTGTCTCAGATGGTAAAATTCCAGTTTTAAGGCAAAAAACCAAATAAGAGCTCAAAGCCCTGAGTTCAAGCCCTAGAAAAACAACAACAAAATGTAAAGGGCAGAGAAAGGAGGTTCAGTATGCAACATAGGACATACCACAAGAGTAGGTTAAGTAAGCCAGGTACTGGTAGCTCATGCCTGTAATCTTAGCTACTCAGGAAGCTGAGATCTAAGGATTGCAGTTCAAAGGTAGCCATGGCAGGTAAGCCCTTGAGACTGTTATCTCTAATACTTAGAAAAAGCTGGAAGTCACACTGTGGCTCAAGCAGCAGAGGACTAGCCTTGAGATAAAAGAATCTCAGGGACAGTGCCCAAATCCTGAGTTCAAGCCCTAGGACCAGCACAAAAAAATTTTTTTAAAGAATAGGTAAAGTAAGCACCCATCTTTGGAAGTGGAGGCAGCGGGGAGAGGTATGCATAAACTTAAACTTGAAACATGAAAAAAAAATACTTAGAAAGCATGCCACAGGATTATAATTTTAAAAGAAAATCAGTGTTTTTATCTTTCTGTGTAGAGGAGGGATTGCTACAATTTTCTGTGAAGTGTCTGTAGATAGCAAATATCAGGTTTTGTAGGCCAGATGTATTAATTCTCTCCCCTAACTTTCCCTCTTCTTCCCTTCCTTTTTTTTTTTTAAACAAACATTTAAAAAGGGAAACAGGGAGAACTTACCTGCCTCTAAGGAGAGAAACTGTGTGTGGGAAGGATTTGGCCTATGGACAATACTTTGACTCCTGTTGTGGAATGTTAGAAACCAATTGGGGCAGAAGCTCTCTCTAAAGCAAAAAGTAAAATAGTAAGGAAAAGACGGAAGGGAAACTGTGTAAGGCTTTATATAAAGAAAATTTTGTGTTTAATAATGGTGTATTTATATTATGTGTTTACATTAAAAGTTGTACCAAAATCTAAATGGTATGAATAAGTTTTGTCAAAAGAAATTTGAAATAAGTTATATGTTTGTTTTTGCTATACTGGAGCTTGAACTGTATGCTTTACATGTATGTCGCCTTAAATGAAGCTCCTCCATGTTTCAAAAGTCACCTATCCTCAGAGTAATCCAAAAGTCTAAATCTATCCTAGTTGAAATAGCACTAGAACTTTTAAATTTTAAATGTATTAGAGAAAATACTTAGTGATATCCAAATAAAATTAAGCCCTTGCTTGCTCTTTGAATATCAAAATCAAGTATAAGACAGTCAAATATTGGTACAAAAATAGATATATCATTGGAACTGAAAAGAGTTAAGATTTTTCAAATTCAATAAAATTTTCTGAAGTCATGCTTTTATTTTTGATGTATATTTACTTGGTTTGTTTTTTGTTGGTTTTGTTTTGGTTTTAGGCAGACTGGGACTCGAACTCAGTACCTGATGTTTTCACTCATTGGCTACCACTCTACCAACTAAGCCCCTTATTTTGTTTTTGGTTTGGTTTGGTTTCCCTTTTTAGGAGAGAATATATATTATAGACAGAGACAGCAGCTCAGGATGGCCTTGAACTCACAGTTTTCCTTCTTCCTCCTCCCAAGTGCTAGTATATTTTTGGTTTTTTAAAAATAATTTTCTGTTCTCTTGTGTTTTTGTTTTTTTCCCATTTTTTAGGTATAAGTGTGCTTGCAGAGTGTCTGGATTGTCCTGAACTAAAAGCAACAGCAGATGACTTTATTCATCAGCATTTTACTGAAGTTTACAAAACTGATGAATTTCTGCAACTTGATGTAAAACGAGTAACCCATCTGCTCAACCAGGACACTCTCACTGTGAGGGCAGAGGATCAGGTGACTAAATTGCCTTCTCACATTTTGCTTAGAAATCAATGAGGAAATTTTTATATCTGATATCTGAAAAGTGCCATATTAGGAGAGAATATATATTCTTTACAATAATACTGGATTACAAATCGTATGAATCTCCACAGTTTTTATAAGGACAGGCTATTTGAGAAATTAGTCACTGGACAGAGAGAAAACTACTAGGTACCGTGGAATACAGAAAAATGCCTATCCCCAAATACCTAACCCCTAAAGGATCTTGGAATTAGGAAGTCAGGTAGATCCAATACAGTTACAAAGATCCTTAAATGTTCAAAGATACACAGTATACAAAAGAGTGGACCAGCCATTACTCACTTTGAAAATGGAGGGAGGCTACAAGCCAAGAAATGAAGGCAGATGTTAGATGTTGCAAAAGGTAAGGAAATTGTTCATCCTATAGAGCCTCCAGGTAGCTCTCCCATACCTTGATTTTAGTTCTGTACAACCTGTTTGACACTGTGTCTTCTAGAACTGTCAGGCAAATTGTGAGAACTGTGAGCTACAGGATATTTGGGTACTGAGTTAGGGAATACTTTGATAAACAGACTTAATCTTTATTTTCAGCCCCATATCCTTCACTGTGTTTTAAGCCACTAAATTTGTGGTAAAAATTTCTTAATAGCAGCATTAGAAACTAAATGTTGAGGTCACATTTTTTGAGTTGCTTTTGTTCTAAAAATAAAAGTTTACACTAAGCTATATTCTTTTGCCCTGTCCTCTTCAATGCTTACAGTATCTATTTGCAAATTGACTGAGCATAGAAGATCTATTTATTTTTGTAAATAAAAACAAAAAACTCAGCTCTAGCCAGGTGCCAGTGGCTCGTACCTGTAATCCTTACTACTCAGAAGGCTAAAATCTGAGGATCACAGTTCAAAGCTAGCCCAACAGGAAAGTCCATGAGATATTATCAGTTAACTAGCAAAAAGCCAGAAGTGGAGCTGTGACTCAAATGGTAGCGTGCTAGCCTTGAGTGAAAAAGCTCAGGGTCAGTGCCCAGGCCCTGAGTTCAAGCCCCAGGATAAGCACAGGAAAAAAAAAAGACAAAAAAACTTGGGTCTATATCTCAAGCATCTCAGGTACCCTGAAGTGTAAGGTAGGAGGGTCACTTGGGCCAAAGAGGTCAAGACCAGTCTGAGCAATAAAGTGAGACCCTTTGTCCAAAAAAAAAAAAATAAAATAAAACAATGATTACAAAATTAACTGGTTTCTATGCAAGTGAAGGAAAAGTAGTTTTGTATCGGAGAAACCTGACAAATATTATCTGCAGGTAGTCCAAGTTAACATCAGTAATAAATTATATTGATGACATGTGCTCTTGATATAGTTATAATACCATATCACCTTTGTGTTGGTCCTACCCAAAACACAAAAAAGCTAGTTGAATGAATACAGCATGGTACAAATTCAAATTGAGAAACATTCTCTCAAATACCTGACTGGAACTCAAAACTGTTACGATCATCAAAGATAAGAAAAGTCTGAAATACTGTCATTTACTAGAAAAGCCTAAGGTGACCTAGTTAATAAATGCAACTAACTAGTATTGTTAGTTTGTTACAAACAAACAAGCTAATGTATGTTTGTTTGTTGGCACCAGTCCTGAGACTTGAACTCAGGGCCTGGGTACTGTCTCTGAACTTTTTTGCTCAAGGCTACTGCTCTACCACTGGAACTACTGCTTCACTTCTATGTTTTGGGTGATTAATTGAATATAAGAGTCCCATGTACTTTCTTGCCCACATTGGCTATGAAACATGAGCCTTATATCTCAACCTCCTGAGTAGCTAATATTACAAGTATGAGCCACCAGCACCTTATTATGTGGTATTTTTATGGGATCATAAGATAGAAAAATAACATTAGCTAAAAAGTAAAGAGATTAAAAAATGTATATATGGATTTTCAGGTATCAGTGATTGTTCTTACAGCTCATGTATCATACTGAAGGTAACAAGAACTGGGTGTAAAGTGTTATATATCAGAAGTCTGTATTATCTTTGCAACTTTACTGTAAATCTAAAACTGATTTAAAGTCCCTTAATAAAAGTAACAATTCAACTCATAAGAATATCAGAAATGGGGGAAGGAGAAGGATTGGGACTGGGGGGGAGGGGGGAGGCTGGGATGGGATGTGAAGGGTAAACCAAAGGAGGAGGCTGCAATGCTTGGTAAGAAATGTACGCATTATCCTGCCCATGTAATTGTAACCCCTCTGTACAGTATGTTCACAAATAAAATAAAATTAAAAAAAAGAATATCAGAAATGTCTTGGGCTTTATTAATACCATCTAATTAATTAGCTAGCTCAAACATAATGTGGTAAATGAAATATATATATTAAATTATTTTTAATATGCTTAAGGATTTGTAAATTAAAGCACATTAATTTGTTCAGTGCAGTTAAATTAATGCTACAGTATTTTGGAAAACAATTCCTATATAAATAATTTATTAAGTATAGAATTTTATATTTTAAAATTTACTAGAAAGTAGACAATTGCAATGTATTAGTTGAAATTAATCATGGATGATCTTTATATCTCCTGGCTAGAAGCCTTCTTGATAAACTTGTTTTCCTGGTACTGACTATACATTGGAAATATCACTGAACAATAGACTTCTTTCAGGTGAATGCACTTTCAGAAAGGAAGCTGAATTGTTATTTTTAACTCATCTATTTAACATCTTCTCTTAGTTACATTATTTAGTAGTTATATCTAGAAAATATGTAACCTATGATACTACAGATGAGTCAATAAACTTATGAAATATAGTCAGGAAAATATTAGAGAGAAATATTATCTCCTGATAAGGTTTTCCCTCTTCAATATGAGAGTAAACATAGGTAATTGAAATGTGGCTGCCAACCAAGAACTTTACTATGCTATTTTTCTCCTTTAGGTTTATGATGCTGCAGTCAGATGGTTGAAATATGATGAACCTAATCGCCAGCCATTTATGGTTGATATCCTTGCTAAAGTCAGGTTTCCTCTTATATCAAAGAATTTCTTAAGTAAAACAGTACAAGCTGAACCACTTATACAAGATAATCCTGAATGCCTGAAGATGGTGATAAGTAAGTTCTCTTCATAACCATTTATATCCTGATCATGTGGCCAGTTGCTTAAAACCTTTTGGAATGGATTAGACTTAGTAGCTAAGGAGAAATGTAAAGACCTTTGTCATCTTCCTAGAAAATTAATCTCTTGAGTTTCTCATTCTCCTAAATATTGAAATGCTTGGAATTTATTGAAATACTTGATTTATGTGACAAGATGAAAACTGTTTCTTCTTTTCCTACTTGTGTATACAATAGATTTCATGCCCTTTGTTTCTAGTGTTTCCTTTTTCACTGAACCAAATAGTGTCCTGGAACTTGAACTCAGGGCCTGGACACTGTCTCCAAGCTTTTTTGCTCAAGACTACGCACTCTGCCACTTGAGCCACAGCTCCACTTGCAGCTTTTTGGGGGATAGTTGGTAATAAGAGTCTCATGGACTTAATTGCATGCACTGGCATCAGACCATGACCCTCAGATCTCAGCCTCCTAAGTAGCTAAAATTAAGGTGCTTTTGTAGTTTTTGTCTCAAGTTCATAATTGCCAAATGTAGCGGAGCATAATGGTACACTCCTATACTCTGGAGATAGAAGTATCAGGAGGATAATAAGTTCCAGTAACCTTGGACAAAGTTAGGGAAACTCTCAAAAACAGTATGCAAACAAAATGCAGATATTACAAGTGTGAGCCACCAGTGCCTGGCCTCTAATTATTCTTACGAAAAAGTGCTTCTCTGCAGTGAAATGAAATACTAAATATTTATAATTATTTTCTTTCATTCACAAACATGCCTCCAAGCATATCTATCTCTTTTGTGAAGGCTTAACACAACTTCATTTATAAAAGTAGGATCATGTTTTATTTATTTCTCCCATAATTTGATTGATAGCTAGTACTGAGGCTTGAACTCTGGGCCTTCAACTCTTGCTCAGCTTTCTTGTTAAGAGATGTCACTCTACCCATTTTATCATTTTACTGATTAATTGGAAATGTAGTTTTTATGACTTTTTCTGCCCAGGTTGACTTTGAACAGAGATTATCCAGGTCTCAGCTAGGATTATAGGCAAGAGTCACCAGCACTCAGCTATAATCTTTCTTTTAAATAATACTGTACATCATGCACAATTCAAAAAATCAAAAAAGAATATATTATGGAAAGGTCTTTCTGATATCCCTGGTCCCTATATTACATTTCCTTACATAGGTTACTTTACACACACACATATCCTAGATAGTCTTCCTGACGTAGCTTTGAAATTACTATATCATGTACACATATCAACTATATATAATGAAATGTGTTACTGTGAAAACATACATTTTAAAACAAATGGTATTACATTTTGTAGACTTCTACATCAGACTTTGTTTTTTCATCCCATACCATTTCATGGATGTCATTTCATGTGTGCATTAACCTTTCCTGTTTTTCATAACAGACAATATAATATTCTATTATGTAGATATACCATAATTTTCAACCACTTTTCCTAACGTGAACATTAGGGGATTCCTGGGCTAAAGGGTGGTATGTACATTTGTGATTTTATTGTATCTCACTATATCCTTCCAATGGTTATGGCCCCCTCAAGATGTTTATAACCCCCCCATACTCCTATCCAGAGCAGCAGAAGGTACTGCTCACCCACAACACAGAACAGTTAATCTTGGCTAGTATGGTAGGTGAAAAAAAGTATGGTTTTAATTTTTATTTCTCTTAAGCAGTGCAGTTAAATATGTTTTCATAAGTTTAAAATTATATTTTTTTCTGTGGACTATATTCAGATTCCTAATTTTCTGTTAAATTGTTTGCTTTAATCTTATTAATTAGATATCCTTACAAAATTGTGTGTGTGTTTGCTTCGGCAGCACATATACTAAAATTGGAACAAATTTGTGTGTGTGTGTATATATGATATATATAAAACTTTTCCTAGCTTTGTCACTGTATTTTGATTCCATCGTTTTTGCCATGCAGTGTCTTAAATTACAATTTAATATACTTTATTTATTTGTTTATTTGGCTGAGACCAGGACTAAAACCCCATTTCTGATTCCTTCACTCATTGGCTGGCACTATACTATACCTGAACCATGCCTGCAACCCCAAATACATACTTGTCTGAAAGTTTTTTAATGGTCCCTTTTTTTCAGTGACTCCTTTTTTCCAGGCTAGAGTTTTTTTTTTATTTTTAAGTGGTCTGTGGCTAAATTAAAGAAGTGCTAAAGGAAGAGAGTCATGTTAGGTCACAGAAGTTCCGAATCCCCATGACATTTGAGAGCTGTCTCAGATAGTGCTTCACAAAGTTTTATGTATATCTGAATTACCTTGGAATTTTGTTAAGTAGGGCCTGGGATTTGGCATTTCTAATGAACTCCCAGATGTTGAAGCTTCTACTCTGTAAACTATTCTTTAAATGGCAAGTATTTAAAAACTCTAAAATGCCAAGGTCTAGGCCGTATCACTAGATATTTTAATTGGTTTGAGGTATAAATAGTTCCAGTAATTCCCTTGTTGATTCAAATACACAGTTAGGATTGAGACTGTTGTACTACATGTCTATAATCCCAACACTTAGAAGCCTGAGCAGAAGGATCAGAAGATCAAGGCCAACTTGCACTATGTAGCAAGATCAAAGCCAGCCTAGGTTACATAATGTATAGGACACCATGACCAAATAAAAAGATTGAAAACTACTTAAGAAATCTGGATTTCAGTAATTATTATCTTGTCAGCTATTGGTAGAGAAACAAGGTAAATTCAGTTACATAGTGAGTCACACGGTCTTAGAATGTTGGTTGCCTCAAATAATAACTTGGTTAGGAAGCAGTTACTTAATACATTTCTCTAGCCCCTTTCCCTCCTCACATTCCTAAATGCTGTAGAGAAATAACACAAGAAAGGTACAGAAATTAATGGAGTATGATGTCTAAGAATTTCCTTTTAGAGCATCCATTAGTGATTGAGGTTCCTAAAAAGTTGCATGTATTTTTCTACAGGTGGGATGAGGTATCACCTATTATCTCCAGAGGACAGAGAAGAACTTGTAGATGGAACAAGGCCTCGAAGAAAAAAACATGATTACCGCATAGCTTTGTTTGGAGGCTCCCAACCACAATCTTGTAGATATTTTAACCCAAAGGTAACTATTTTTATTCTCTTTTTGCTTTTGAAAGCACTGAACAGATAGGCACTCTCCTAAGTCTGACCTTTAAAGATACTGGTCTTTCCTATTCTTTTATAACCTTATGAGGTACTTAGTTACTATCTTCGTTACGTAGATAAGAAAATTCAGACTTAGATATCAAATGTTCTGTGATTACTTTGCCTGGTGTGCTTTATAGTATAGTATCGACTACCAAAGAAAACATGGCAGTACATACCTGTAATCCCAGCTTCTTGGAATACAGATCACAATTTAGAAACTAGTACAGGTAAAGTCTAGGACAAAATACCACAGTTACTGAAACAACACAAAATGAAAGGGCTGAGGCTATGGCTCAAGTAGTACAGGCTTTCCTGGAATATATGAGGCCCTGTTTACATTCCCCAGTATTACCAAAAAAAAAAAAAAAAAATCCAGGAGCTATTTTTTCTGTCTTACCTCTTTTTGAGCAAGTGTTTACAGGACCTAGTTCTATCTTACCTCTTAATTACCAAGTCATTTTAATTCCTGAATTTTTAAATATATATTATTGTTATATAATATATAATCATATGTTAATATATAACATATTATACATATAATATATATGTGATATAATATATAATTATATATAACTATGTATATTATATATTACATATAATGTATAGATAACATAATTATATAATATATATTATATATAACATAAATATATAACATTTTATTGTTATTAAGGCGTTGTACAGAGGGGTTACTCTTTCATAAGTCAGGTAATAAGTACATTTCTTTTTAGACAGTGTCACCCCTTCCTTCACTTTCCTTCAGTTTCCTCCTCCTGTCCCTGACTACAAGTTGCATAGTTCATTTTAATTCCTGCTTTTATTGTGTGCTTTTTTTTAGGGAAAGTTCTGTTTCTGGGACTTTAGTAATTATAATTTAGTGTAAAATATGCATAGTCATTCTAGACAGTTTTGAAAACCTAGTAAATAAGAAAAATAAAATTACTTTTAATTCAAAGATCAGGAAACAATCAATTTTAGTGTTATTTCTAGTAGATATTATGCCACTTGGATTAGCAGTCTGTCTGATACATAGATTTAGGAATACAAGTTTAAAAAGCAAAAGATAAGTACTTGTAACCTTGAGAGAATCTACTAACATTTCTATTTCTTGACAGGAGGTGTAGCTCAGCAGTATTGCACCTTCCTAGCAAGTGCAAGAATCTAGTTCAAATCTCAGAACCACAAAAAATTAAAAAATAAGAGAAGCCATGCACTGGTGGCTGATGCCTGTAATCCTAGCTACTCAGGAGGCTGAGATCTAAGAATCATAGATCAAAGCCATGCAAGAAAGTCAGTGAGAAGTGGAGAGGTAGAGCTCAAGTAATAGAAGGCCAGCCTTGAACAAAAGCTTCTTGAGTAGCCCCCAAGCCCTGAGTTCAGGACACACACACATACTCTCTCTCTCCTCTCTCTCTCTCTCTCTCTCTCTCTCTCTCTCTCTCTGTCTGTCTCTTTCTCTCTCCCTCCCTCCTTCCCCACCCCCACTCCCCCTTGGAAGACTTCATGGAGCAGCTACATCCTTTCCTGAATTATCACCTCCTTTTGTAATATGGTGTACTAAGAATAGATTTAATTTCATTTTCTATATTTAAAAAATATTTTGATGTCTTTGTCATATGGTTTTCAGCTGTAGAGAATATAACATTATTTGTTTCTATACTACATACATTGCTAGGGCAGAGCAATTTCACAAACTTAACAAGTAGCACCTAAAACTTGCAAAGTATCCAGAACTTATGCTGAATCCAATCACGTAATAGTCTTTCATAAGCCCATTTTATGTGTGTATATGTGTGTGTGTGTGTGTTCAGGTAAAAAAAGATTGGAGCCAGGCACTGATGGCTCACACCTGTAATCCTAGCTACTCAGGAGGCTGAGATCTGAGGATCATGCTTCAAGGCCAGCCAAGGCAGGAGAGTCCATGAGACTCTTATCTCCAATAAACTACTCAAAGAAGCCAGAAGTGGAGCTGTGGTTCAAGTAATAGAGCACTAGCCTTCAGTAAAAGAAGCTCAGGAACAGTGCCCAGGCCCAGAATCCAAGCCCCAGGACTGGCAAAAGAAAAAAAAAAGTTCAGAACACATTTGTTCTGTCCTCCTGACCTGTCTTCCAAATTAGGAATATAGAGTCACAGTCTTACTTTCAAGTACATTTTAAGACACTGCTTTGTAGTTTTATTCTATATATTATCCTCACAAGCCCTTCTGCCCTACCTTGGTCCAATGCATAAAGTTTCCACCCTCAGAAATGTGAAAATAGGCCTAACCTTAGAAGGGATGATAGGAAACTCCATAAACCTAACCAGCTTTTTAATCATCATAAATTTACAGATCATACAGGAGAGAGTGGAAACAGCTGCAGGTCTTTGAGAGCTATGAGTGGAAAGAGTGAAGAAAATGGGAGTGGGATCTGTGTGGTAGTGCTTTAAGCGATTAGCATCAAGAAGCAGCTGGAGGAAAGTAGACTCAAACACCGGTTAGAATGTTAAAAATCAGGCTTGAGAGTAATGTCACCTAATACTTTGGTTGACAGCCTTTTGTAATAGAGTCCCTAGATGAGGGGTAAGAGGACTCCTTCAGCTTCCAAGTATCCATGCAAAATGATCAAGATATATTATTATTTATAAACTGCTTTGTTCAATGGCAACTCCTTTGTACTAATTACTTAAAGATAATTTTTGTTTTGGTTGGTTGTGGGGTTTGAACTCTGGGCCTGAGTGCTGTCCCTCAGCTCTTCAGCTCAAGGCAAGCACTCTACCACTTGAGCTACAGCGCCACTTCCAGTTTTCTGGTAGTTTATTGGAGATAAGAGTTTCTCGGACTTTCCTGCCCAGGCTGGCTTTGAACCGTGATCCTTAGATCTCAGCCTCCTGAGTAGCTAGGATTACAGGCGTGAGCCACCAGCGCCTGGCTGTAAAGATCATTTTTAAGTGGAAAAAAAAACTTTAGATCAACACATGAAAATAATTTTAAGGTATCTTACAGGAGAGTATCACAAGAACAAAATTTTATTAACAAGGATTCATTTTAGTAACAATAAAATAGGCCAGGTGCTAGTGGCTCATGCCTTATCCTAGCTACTCAGAGGGCTGAGATCTGAGGATCATGGTTCAAAGCAAGCCTGGGCAGGAAAGTCAATGAGACTCTTAGAAAACCAGAAGTGGTGCTGTGGCTCAAGAAGTAGAGCAGTAGCCTTGAGCTGAAGAGCTGAGGGTCAACACCCAGGCCTGGAGTTCAAGCCCCATGACTGACAAAAAAATAAAATAGGGAGAAATTTTTTTAAAAAGGGAGAAACTACATTTTCCACACATGAAGTGAAAATAAAGACAAAGTGACAGCTCTTGTCTGTGGTCTTTATGGTTTTAAACTAAGGAAATACACCTGAATGTTAAGACAATAATTTGGGGTAGGTACAATGGGTGCTGTTTACTATTCTAAGACATGGAAATGTGTTCTAGATCTACCCAAAATGGATAGTAGGTGAGATTTTCCCTCCTTACTCCTTAGTGGAAAAGTTTGGAGGTTTTTAACATTCCAAAGAAGGCAGAATTAGATACCCCTTTATGTCTTCATATGCTTATAACATCTGAAAGATATTTTGTTTTTCAGCTTACTTCTTGGTTTTAATTTCTAAGACTGACCCTTTTAGTTTAGTTTTTGTTGATCCTGGAGTATGAGCTCAGGCCCTGGTTGCTGTTCCTGAGCTCTTCAGCTCAAGGCTAGTGCTCTTCCACTTTGAGACAGCACCACTTCTGGTTTTCTGGTGGTCAGTTGAAGAGTCTTACAGACTTTCCTGCCCAGGCTGGCTTCAAACTGTAATCCTTAGCACTCAGCCTCTTGTGTACATAGGATTGTAGGTATAAGCCACCACTGCTGGGCTAGGTTGACTCTTTTTTTTTCCCCAAAAATCAAATACAGTGACAACAGGAGATACACCATAGGGGGAAGAACATACAAAAGAAACAAGAAATCACATAGTACATAAAAAATAATAACAAAAAACCTCTTGTGTCCATGTCTTGGAGTTCATTTTTGCTTAGCATCATCTTATATGATCATATGTACATAGCTATTGAGCTATTCTGCTCATCTGCTAAGATTATCTTAGATGTATACTAATCATTGCAAATAAGAGAAACTATGGGACCTATATTTCTTTTGCTCTGGTTTACTTCATTTAATATTTTTTTTTGGATCCAGTTGTGGGGCCTGGGTGCTGTCCCTCAGCTCTTCAGCTCAAGGCTAGCGCTCTACCACTTGAGCCACAGCGCCACTTCCAGCTTTTTTCTTTTTGCTTATGTGGTGCTGAGGAATCGAACCCAAGGCCTCATGCATGCAAGGCAAGCACTCTACCACTGAGCCACCTTCCCAGCCCCTCATTTAATATTTTTAATATTAATTTTATTTTCCTGTCTATCCAGCCTCAGTGATTGTTCCTATTATGTCCCAGAGCTACAATAAGACCTGTCTGCTCAGAAGTATTAAATCATATTCCATTGTGTTTGATATGAATTATGTTCTTTGTAAATTGGTAATGCAAGCATGCAAAATAATTACCCTTAGCTTATGACATAATGTATTCTATAATTAGCTGGTTGTAAAAACATCAGTTTAAACAAAGACTGCTTTAGCATGTATTAACAGGATCACAGCTGATTTGAAATTTGTAGTCTGGTACCCACAAAAGGATATGCATACATAATATAGCTCTGTCCTCAATTTGAGTGTATGAGATGTACATGGAAGCAGGAAGCAGTGAGTACAAAGTGGATGAGGGTCAGTGGGATGATCAATTGAATTAATCAATTCAATGTCTCACATGTGTACACAGTGCTGATATGAAAAGAGGACAGCTTCTGGGTTGAATTTGTCAACAAACCAGGAAGTCTTCCTGGGGGTTCATGGAAATTTTTTAAGAGACTTGCGGAGTTTGGATGAAAGAAAGAGAAAAGACTTGAGAATATCTTTCTGGCTTGAAAAGTGTAATCATACTTTTTCATAAAAGCTCCCAAAATGAGGGAAAAACTGGAAGATATCAAGAGAAAAAGTGACATTGTCCAAAAAGAAACGTACTCTTTACCTGGTTTATGTATGTGTAACCTCTCTATACATCACCTTTATAATAACACACTAAGTAAAAGCTACCAAAATATTATTTAACTGAATGGAATTCACCTTAGCTTTTGACTTTATGTATAAAAATTAGACATGGTAGAAGAACTGAAGGACCAGCTAGTGCTGATCATTTTTCTGAGATCAGTTTTTGGGCCTTTTTACTTTGGTTTTATTAAAGCAAAGTATCTGTATTATACAAAGAATATTTAAGGCTGGGAATGTGGCTTAGTAGTGGAGTACTTGCCCAGCATGCATCAAGCCCTGGGCTTGATTCCTCAGTACCACATAAACAGAAAAAGCCAGAAGTAGCACTGTGGCTCAAGTGGTAGAGTACTATACTTGAGCAAAAGAAGCTCAGGAATAGTGCCCAGATCCTGAGTTCAAGCCCCAAGACTGGCAAAAAAAAAAAAAGAGAGAATTATTTAAATATAGGTTTATGACTTTAGGCAAGTTCTAGCCTTCTGTTTCCTGGTCTAAAAACAAAAAGTTTAACTCTCCTCAGTATTTGTGTAAATATCTATTCTTTTTGTCCAATTGTTTTTCATATCTCTGGTCTTCTTCAGTTTCTCACTGTCATCCTTAGGTTCCATATGTAAGTGTATACAGACTTAACATCTTTTTTTTGGGGGGGGTCCAGCCATGGGGCCTGAACTCTGGGCCTGGGCACTGTCCCTCAGCTCTTCAGCTCAAGGCTAGCGCTCTACCACTTGAGCCACAGCACCATTTCCAGCCTTTTTCTTTTTGCTTATGTGGTGCTGAGGAATCGAACCCAGGGCCTCATGCATGCAAGGCATGCGCTCTACCACTGAGTCACCTTCCCAGCCCCAGACTTAGCATCTTTTTATTTCCCTTCACCTCTCTAGAGCTAGCCACATTATTTTTTATATTCTACACTTCTGAGCACAATGAACTTCATTGGTGAGAACATTTTCTTAAATGAGTATGTTCTCACATTCTGGAATTTGATGTGATTTAAACTGAAATATTCTCTACTGTTTAAAGATTAAGTTACAGTCCACAAGTCATATGTATACAACTTAATCCTAGCTGCTTGGGAGACTTGAGATGAGGACTGTGGTTTGAGGACAGCGTAGGAAAAAGTTAGAAAGACACCTGTCTCAACCAACAAGCTGTGCCTAATAGTATACATCTGTGGTCCCAGCTCTGTGGCAGGGGTTGTAAGAAACACAATACCCTATCCAAAATTCAACTAAAGCAAAAGAGGCTAGAGGCATGGTTCAAGAGGTAAAGTGCCTCCTCCTAAGTATAAGGTCCTAAATTCAAGCCCCAGTATTGAAAACAAAAACTACCTACATATCACAGGTTAGTAGAGACAAATATGTTGAAGATAACTTGACAGTATGCTAACATGAGAATTCTTCCTTAAGATTTATTTCTGCTCAGGTATTTTCAAGGATTATATTTAGGTGAAGTTTCACTTTGACACTGAGTTTTTATTTTATACTTGAATTTCTGATGAGTTAAAGTTTGGGTTTGGTTTTAGTTTGAGAGTAGGGAAAGAAAGAACATTTTATGACCTGATGAAATATATGTGATCCTCAGGAGTTCCCTTGGAGTTGGTTTCTCTAGTCATTAATAGCTGAGAAATAACTATTTATGTGTTATTTGTCACCACTTGAACCTAATTTTATCAAGCAGCCTGCTATAGCACATCCAGTTTCCTGCCCCAACAATGCAGAAGGTTTTTTTTTTAATCAAGCTATCCTGTTATTGTTGAAGTTAAGCCACAAGAGTAGTTTTTCCTGGTCTGGGTGGGTAGCTCAGTAATTCAGCACTTGTCTAGTACTCAGAAGGCCCTAGGTTCAGTCTGTAGTACTGATTAAACTCAGGATATGATATTATATAATAAATACTACATCATATTTTTCCTAATCACTGATTAAATCTCTTCCTAAACTGAGTTTGTAACTTAATTTTGGGTTTTTTGGTTTTTGTTTTATGTTGTTTTTTTTGTTTGTTTGTTTTTGTTTTTTCTGATGGTGGGGCTAAATCTCAGGGGCTAGGTACTGTCCCTGAGCTTCTCTTGCTCAAAGCCAGTGCTCTACCACTTTAGCCAGAGTTCTACTTGTAGCTTTTTTTTAGTAGTTTATTTGAGATAAGAGTTTCACCTTGATTCCTACCTACCTATCTACCAGATACCCATTTTTATATCCGAAAGTAAATCTGAAATTTAAAAAGACTTAAATTTTTCTTATATATAATCTTCACAAAGAAGACATATCCAAATATATTTAAATTTACTTCAAAGCTATGAAAGTTACAGAGTAACCATGTCCTTTCCTTTACCAGTTGCCTCAACTAGAATTCTGAAGAAATCACAGATTAAATCAGATTACAGTCTCAAACCAAATGTTTGTATATTCTAGTAAGACTTACGTTTTAGATAAATTTTTATTACTGTAAAGGTGGTCTATAGAGATGTTCCGGTACATAAGTCAGATAAAGGGTACATTTCTTTTTTAACCCCTTACCTGGAGTTCTCCCAGTTTTCCCCTCCTGTCCCAACCTACAAGTTGTATACTTCATTTTTGACATAGTGTCTAGTGAGGATCACTGCTGCATTTGTTCACCCTTTGTCCTATTTTTGGTACATTTTCTCTACCAATGCTGTCTTTTCTGGTTTCATTTTCCCTTTCTGAAAGTTGTTCCTTTCTGCTTCAGGATTATAGCTGGACGGACATTCGCTGCCCCTTTGAAAAGCGAAGAGATGCAGCATGTGTGTTTTGGGACAATGTAGTGTACATTTTGGGTGGCTCTCAGCTTTTCCCCATTAAACGAATGGACTGCTATAATGTTGTGAAGGACAGCTGGTATTCCAAACTGGGCCCTCCAACACCTCGAGATAGTCTTGCTGCCTGTGCTGCAGAAGGCAAGATTTATACATCTGGAGGCTCAGAAGTAGGTAAGGCTTGTTAATATTTTTGTTCAAAGGAAATGCTTTAAAGCCAGCTGGCTTGACTTTCACATCTAAATAAAAATTGATTGTTCTTATCCAGATAAGTCCATATCTAACATATTAGAGCCCATTTCGTTGAAGATATACCTTAATCCTTTAAATTATTAATTTACAAGACTGTTGCTTCATATGTTGTTAATTGCCCACTTTTATTATGGGACTATAACAATTGGCACTATCTGAATTGTAGTTGGGAAGAGTTTTGGGTGTTTTTGGTTTTTTGGTTTTTTTTGTTAGATAGTATTATTTGCTAGGTTAGACTTATAGACCCTTTAAAAACCCCTATATACTCAAGCTTTTAAAATCTGTTTTCTTTATGTTTCTTTGTATCAGAAGAAAGATATAACTGTTGGTTTTGTGTTCTCAATATGTATATGTTGAATGTTTCAATATGTATCCCAGGTTGGTCCTAAACTCCTGATCCTCCTGCCTCAGCCTTCCTTGTGCAGGCAGTATGCCCAGCTTAGTAATACCTTTTTATTTGCTTTCTTTAACATTTCTAATCTAATGATTTATGTGGTCATTTATGCTTATGGGTCAGGTCAGGTTCTCATTTGTAAGTATTCAATAGTCTTTTGCTAAATAAATGTTTTTTTCAATGAATATTCTAGGTGTAGACTAGACACATAGTAGCTTTAATATACTCTCATCTTTTCAAGTTATTCCATTAATTACATAATGTGTTATTAAGAAGAACTAGGAATATCAGGTAAACCCTTAGTTATGGAATTTAAATATGTTAATTTTTTAATACGTGTGTGTGCTGGTACTGGGTCCCGAATTCAGAGCCTTGTAGTCTTGTCACTTAGCTTTTTCTCTCAAGCTGATGCTCTGCCTCTTAATCCACACCTCTTCTTCCTTTAACTTTCTTTTTTAGTGGTACTAGCTTTTTGAGCTCAGGGCCTTGCACTTGCTGAGGAGGCATTCTACTACTTAAACCATGTGCCTAACACTTTACTTTTGTTATTTTTCAAGCACTCTCTACATCCAGGCAAGTCCTGGCAGATATCTTCCTATTTACATGTGTTACTGCATCCATTTATTTGTTGTTGTTATTGTTTAACTGAGTCTCTCAAACTTTTTGCCAGGCTAGCCTTAAGTCAAGATCCTGCTGATGGCAGATTACAGGCCATGGCTCACGCCTGTAATCCTAGATACTAAGGAGGCTGAGATCTGAGGATCACGGTTCAAAGCCAGCCTGGGCAGGAAAGTCCATGAGACTCTTAGCTCCAGTTAACCACCAGAAAACCAGAAGTGGGCTATGGCTCAAGTGGTAGAGCACTTAAGCTGAAGAGCTCAGGGACAGTGCCTAGGCCCAGAGTTCAAACCCCATAATCAACAAACAAAAAAAGATCCTGCTGAGCTATTATCTCAAGTGGCTTTTTTTTTTTCACCAGTCCTGGGGCTTGAACTCAGGGCCTGGCCTCTGTCCCTGAGGCTCTCTGTACTCAAAGCTAGCACTCTACCACTTGAGCCACAGTGCCACTTCAGCTTTTTCTGAGTATTTTATTGGAGATAAGAATCTCATGGACTTTCTTGCCCAGGCTAGCTTCAGACTATGATCCTCAGATCTCAGCCTCCTGAGTAGCTAGGATTTCAGTGTGAGCCACAATGTCTTGGTCTGTGATTTCCCCCTTCCCCTCCCATTGGAGGCTTGAATTCAGGTCTGGGTACATTGTTCCTTAGCTTTTTCACTGGAATCCTACCACTTTAGCTGCAGCTCCACTTCTGAGTTTTTGAATGGTCAATAGAGATAAAAAGTCTCATGGACTTTCCTGCCCTGGCTGAGGGCTGACTTGGAGTTCTTCAGCCTCTTGAATAACTAGGAATAGCCATGAGCCACCAGTGCCTGATTTGCTCTGTGATTTTTATATTAACCAAGAACATTATTTACTTTTAATCAGATGTGTTTTAAGTTTTTACCTTCTACTACATGTCAAATGAATACAGGAAAAATGATGATTTTTTTAAAATTTAATCTAAATTTAACTTGAGGTGATCTTTATATTATTAAGTTTTTACTTAAGTAGGAGGACTTCTCTATGGTTGTTTTGTATTGGTTTTTGTTTTGTTTTGTTTTTTACTTCTTGCTCAGCTTGCTTGTTGGGCTGGCATTCTACCACTTGCACTATGCCTTTAGCCTGGCTTTTTGCTAATTATTTTTGGAAATAGAAACGTAAAGATATTCTTGCCCAGGTTATCCTCAAACTGTGATCCTCCTGAATAGTTAGGATTATAGGCAAGAGACACTGACACTGGCTAACAGCAGATCTTTAATATTTTCCATATACAATATGTTTTCCCCTAGTATCCACCAGCTTGAATCTACAAAATCAAAAAGATTTGTTTCATTATGGTCATTGCTGATTTGTCTTCTCTGAACCTTTTCATATACATTGGTTGCAGTGAAGAGCTCTAGATGTCTTAGTGCTGTATTTAACAGAGATAAAAAGTAGTTTGGCAAAATACTAATTTCCTTTTTATTAGGAAAGGGGAAAAAGTGATTTTTAATAGTATGATTGCTAAGATTTTCTATTGAGCTACTACAGTGTGAAAAAGTTGCAAAACATAAATGTATAGTCAATATGCATCAGAAATGTAGAGACTCCCTAGGGACTTCCACTAAAGGAGGGACTGGTATCCTTCGGGGCTTACCAACCCAGTCACTAAGAATGCAATCGCAAAATCACAATTACGATTTTGGTGAAATAGCTTTTAGACTAGTAAGGGGCTGGGAATGTGAGTTAGTGGTAGAATGCTTGCCTAGCATGCATGAAACCCTGGGTTCAATTCCTCAGTGCCATATAAACAGAAAAAGCTGGAAGTGGCACTGTGGCTCAAATGGTAGAGTGCTAGCCTTGAGCAAAAGAAGCTCAGGGACAGTGCTTAGTGGCTCACGTTCAAGTCCCAGGACTGGCAAAAATAATATATTAAATAAGCCTCAGAATACTATCAGTAATTTTCATGTTTTAGCTATGGTTTTCCAATCTATATAATATATATTTGAAATTTAAATAATTCTCAGCATGTTATAACTGGACTCCAAAACATACATAATATTTCTTATTTTACTTTTGAAATCAGACCAATATATCTTCCTAAAAGTTTACTACCAAGGAACTTTCCAACAGATGTTTTCTTGAATGTTTTCCAAGGACTATACAGAGTTATTAGCTTCTTAAAGTGTCACTACATTTTCATTGACTGAACATAAAAATGACTCCTAAATTTTTCCCTCCCATAACTTATGATGTAGCTCTGCTTATTGACTCCTAACCCACATACACAGTAAGTCAAGTTTCTATGGAACCCTCTTCTTTCTGTTACTTTTGTTTCCTTTGTTGGTTGGTTGTTTAGGTTTTTGAGAAAGGATCTTAATGTGCAGCCCGAGATAGCCTTAAACTTTCAATCCTCCTACCTCAGACTCCTAAGTGGTCTCATTCTTTACAGGAAATTCAGCTTTGTATTTATTTGAGTGCTATGACACAAGAACCGAAAGCTGGCACACCAAGCCTAGCATGCTGACGCAGCGCTGCAGCCATGGCATGGTAGAAGCCAATGGCCTCATCTACGTTTGTGGTGGAAGTTTAGGGAATAATGTTTCTGGGAGAGTGCTTAGTTCCTGTGAAGTGTATGATCCTGCCACAGAAACGTATGTATCAATTTAAAGTTCTAAGTTCACAGTTACTGTATTCTATGAGTTCAGTTGCATAAAGTATAAAATGGTAGAAGGGACCCATTTCAAGCATTTAGTTCTCATATTAAAAATGTACATTCACTTGAACAACCTGGACTCTTCCTTTGCACCTTCAGACATGCCCTGACTTTTTGGGAACTCCTCTCTTTCTAGTTCTGCTTATGCAATAAATATCTGGACAACATACCCGATTGATACATCAAATTTATAAAACATTTTTGTTTGGGAGATCAGGAAATAAAAGGGGAGTGAGCAGGAAATTAATAATCAGAAGTAAACTTTCCTTAAGTAGAAATATAATATATTGGTTTATGATATTAATATATCATGTTCTTGTTGGATACAATATTTAGGATTTTCCTAAAATATCATTAGATTCATATTAAAATTCTTAAATCATATGAGAAAACATTTATTTATTTAGGAAGTAGTAGGGGTTAATATCAGGGTCTAATAATTGGTAGGCAAGTACTTTACCACTTAACATGTCCCAGTTCCTTTTTGTTTTAGTTTATCTTTCAGATAGGATCTTGTGTTTTTGCCAAGCTGGCCTTGGACTTATCCTCTTACCTCTGCCTCCTGAGTAAGTAGCTGAAAATTACTGCTTTATAAAAGGCAAAATACTCAGTTGAGCAGAGCGCTGGTGGCTCAGGCCTATTTTCCTAGCAATTGAGGAGGTTAAGATCTGAGGATAGAAGTTTGAAGCCATCCCAGGCAAGAAAGTCCATGAATCTCTTATCTCCATTTAATCACCAAAAAGCTGGAAGTAGAGGTGTTACTCAATTGGTAGAGTATTAGCTTATTACTTGAAATCTGACCAGTTTCTCTTCCTAAAAGTTAAGCATCAGTGGTTCAAGCCTGTAATCCTGGCTACTCAGGAGATCTGAGGATTACAGTTCCAAGCCAGCCCAGGCTGGCTTGAGACTCTTAACACAATAAACTCAAAAAAGCCAGAAGTAGTTCTGTGGCTCCAGAGATACAGCACTCACCTTGAGCAAAAGAAGCTCGGGGCAGTGCCAAGGCCCTGAGCTCAAGCCCCAGGATTGGCTTTTTTTTTAAAAAAAAGTTAAACTACCAATGAATCTTTTCAACAGATCTTTTTTTGAATCTTTTCCAAGAACTATACAAAGTTATTAGCTTCTTAAATTTAAAATGGTTTCCAAGAACTATACAGTTATTAGTGTTTTAAAGAAATAGTTTAACCTTATAGTTATGGAGCCCATTTAATGTAACCAAATTTGTTAATCGGTGAATATGGGGTATTGGTGAATGCAGTGACATTAAAGATAATTCAGAAATAAAATAAGTAGTATCTCAATTCTACGCCCCCATCAGAAAGAATGACATTGCCCTATTTGTTAGGAAATGGAAAGATTTGGAAAAATTATATTAAGTAAAGTAAGCCAGGCCCAAAGAAACATAGGTCCCATGGTTTCCCTTATTTGCAATAACTAGTATATGTCTGAGACAAGCAGAAACAGTCAGATAAGTTGATGTTAGGTGAAATGAACCCCAAGATAAGGACTCAAATGCTTTTTCTTTCTTGCTATTGTTTCTGACATATTTATAAGATGATTTCTTTGTTGCTTGGTATGTTCCTCCCCCACAGTATAACCCCTGTTTTCACTGTATTTGATGTTGGTATAATTTGTGGAGGGGAAGGAAAAAAACAAATTGTTTAAATAGGGATACAGGTGGACCCATTGCAACAATGAGATGTACAAGTCGTTATGTCGAAAAACGAACTTTACAACTTTGGCGTGCAGGGGAGGAGGGAAGGGGAGAGATGGGAAGGGATGGGAAGGGGAAACAAAGGAGGAGGCAACAATGCTTGATAAGAAATGTACTCATTACCTTGCTCATGTAATTGTAACCCCTCTGTACGGTATTTTCACAATTAAAAAAAAGATATATTCCCCTACTTTGAAAAAAAAAGAATTTTTTTTGGTGCTGTGACTTGAACTCAGAGCCTAGACACTCTCCTGAGGTTTTTTTTGTTTTGTTTTGGTTTTTGGTTTTTGTTTTTGTTTTTTTTTGCTAAATGCTAGTGTTCCACCACTTGAACCATTAGCCTACTTCCAGCTTTGTGTTGGTTAATTTAGGAGTCTCATAGAATTTTCTGCCTGGGCTGGCTTCAAACCACAATCCTCAGATCTTAGCTTTTAGTAGCTAGGGTTAAAAACATGAGCTACTGGTAAAGCCAGAGGTGGCTCAGTGGCTCAAGTCGTAGAATGCTAGCCTTGAGCTGAAGAGCTCAGTGACAGCACCCAGGCCCAGAAGTTAAGCTCCATGACTGAAAAAAAAAAAAAAAAAATGAGCTACTTGCGCTCAGCCCCATCTATTTTTAAAGGATTTAAGGAAGCATAATAAAAGTATAATTTAATTTATTGGTTTTGGTGGATTTTTTTGTTTTGTGTTCAGTGAATTACCAAGGAAGAGAAGCAAGTTAACATTCCTTGCTATTTATCTTTTGCTAAAGTGTTGAGACTAGAAATCTCTTGATATATTGCTTCCCAGTGTTTTCAGAGTATGCCTAGAAGTTGCCAGAGCATGCTGTGGATACCTCTGTCCTTATCCTGTGTTTTAGTTAAGATATATATTTCTATATATAGATATAGATATATCTGTATATAGATATAGATATACACCCTCATCTTGTCCCAAACCATGGGGGCACAGCAGCTGAACTCCCTCCATTTGGAACCTCTACCTCACCTCCTTCCTATAAGCCCTATGCTCAAAACATGTTACAGCATACTACTTGGAAAGCTATAATCTTACTCATACTGATGACTAACCGTTTCCTCATTTCTAAAAAAACAAATTTAAAAGTGTAGTCAGTAACCAGTAACCTAGGCTTCTAAATTTTAAGATACTAATTCAGGTAGTATCAGTTTCTATCATATTTTCATGTATCCTAGCAGGGGGGGAAATGTGTGAAAGGTTTCTATATCCTCTACCTGATCCAGGATAGGGAAACAAGAAGTTATTTTTCCTGGCCGGGAAGGTGGCCTAAGTGGTAGAGTCCTTGCCTAGCATGCATGAGGCCCTGGGTTTGCTCAGTACGACATAAACATAAATTTTAAAGAAAAGACTTTAAAGTTGAGCTTATTTTTTAAAGTTTTTCATTTGATGCTGTTTTCTTTTCTTTTCATCTTGTTTGTTCGTTTGTCTTTGGGAAGGTGGGGGACAAAAGGCAAACAAATGCAGCAGTGGTACTCACTAGATACTATGTTGAAAATGAACTGTACAACTTGTAGGTGGAAGTAGGAGGAAAAAACTGGGAAAGAGAGCAAGAGAAAGAGTGACATTGTCCAAAAAGAAATGTATTCTTTACCTGACTTAATGTAACTGTAACCCCTCTGTACATCACTTTTATAACAATAATTAAAAATTAAATTACATAAAAATAAAATCTACCTGAATATTCAGGTTCAGGAATATGTAAAAACTTTCAACCAGTGGCTGAAACCTATAATCCTAGTTACTCAGGAAACTGAAGTCTGAAGATTGAGGTTTAAAGCCAGCCCAGCAGGAAAGTCTGTAAGACTCCAATTAACCAACAAAAAGCTCTAAGTGAAGCTGTGGCTCAAGTGGTAGAGCACTAGCCTTGAGCAAAAGAAAATTTTTTAATATATTTTTGATTTTTGGGTTTTTTGGGGGGGGATCTGGTCATGGGGCCTGAACTCTGGGCCTGGGTCCTGTCCCTCAGTTCTTCAGCTCAAGGCTAGTGCTCTACCACTTGAGTCACAGTGCCACTTCCGGCTTTTTTCTTTTTGCTTATGTGGTGCTGAGGAATCAAACCCAGGGCCTCCTGCATGCAAGGCAAGTGCTCTACCACTGAGCCACCTTCCCAGCCCCTTAAAATATATTTCTAAAACCCTCAGGGACAGCACCCAGGCCCTGAGTTTAAGCCCCAGGACTAGCACAAAAAAAAAAAATCTTTCAACTTACTATTTCTTTTGTTTCTATTGATCTTGTGTTAAACTTGAATTCTATATAGTCTTTTATCCTTAAATTTTCTTAAGAAGCTAAGTGGATATAATAATTCTAAATTCTAATTCTAAAATAAACATTAAATATTATGATTTCATTACTAAAATGATGTCTCACTTGAGATGTCACATGGTGGTTGAGCACTTGTGTAGCATACTCAAGGCCCTGGGTTCAATCCCCAGCAATTCAAAGAAAAGCAAAATGTGATTTTAAACACTTGTTATTTTTGAAAAAAAAAATTTCCAAACTTAGACTCTTTAAGTTTTTTGGCATGATTTGTTTAGTTGGAAACTAAGAAATTAAGCCTCTGAAATTACATGACAGTTTTTTTTCTTTTTTCTTTTGTTTTTTTTTTTTTTTGTGAGAATACCGTACAGAGGAGTTACAATTACATGGGCAAGATAACTAGTACATTTCTTATTTGGGTTTGGGGGATTTGTTTTGTTTTGTTTGCCAGTCCTGAGATTTGAACTAAGGACCTGGGCTCTCTCCCTGAGCCTGTGTGTGCTCAAGGCTAGTGCTCTACCACTTGAGCCACAGTGCCACTTCTGGCTTTTTCTGAGTAGTTTATTAGTGAAAGAGTCTCCCGGACTTTCCTTCCCCCGGCTATTTCAAACTGTGATCCTCAGATCTCAGCCTCCTGAGTAGCTAGGATTACAGATATGAACCACCAGCGCCTGGTCTCCACATGACAGTTTGAGCAATGTTAATTTTACGAAAAGTTTCTAAACACTAAACTTTAGGTTGATAAGCAGGAGCGAAGTACATACTCTACATATACATATAGAAGAAAGAAAACATGCTCTTGCTTTAAGTCATTGACATATTTAGAGAAGAAGGTAGTATGTAAATTTAATTTTTCCAAGCCAAATTGTATTTTCTTTCTTTTTGTTTTTGTTGTTGGTCATGGGGCTTGAACTCTGGACCTGGGCATTATCCCTCAGCTCATCAGCTCAAGGCTAGCACTCTACCACTTGAGCCACAATGCCACTTCCGGCTTTTTTCTGTGTATGTGGTGCTGAGGAATCGAACCCAGGGCCTCATGCATGCAAGGCAAGCACTCTACCACTGAGTCACTTTCCCAGCCCCCAAATAGTATTTTCTACCAGTGACATCTTGCCATGTGGAGAGACAGTGGAGATTTAGTACTTACTGGTTTTCCCAGGAAGTACTTCCCCATTTGTTTGTTGTTTTTCCATGCCAGGAATCTTACACTCTGGGCATCAAGCTCTCCTTGCCTTTTTCACTCACAGCTGGCTCTCTACCATTTGAGCCACAGTACCACTTAGAGCTTTTTACTGATTAATTGAAGATAAGAGTCTGTTGGACTTTGCCTGCCCAGGCTGGCTTCAAACTGGGATCCTCAGCTCTCAGCCCCCTGAGTAGCTAGGATTACAGGCGTGAGCTGCTTGCATCCAGCTGCTTCCATTGTGTTGTTCTTTGTTGTCTTTTAGTATGTGTTAACATACTATGAGTACCTGGGTTGCAGTACTTTCACAGTCACAGGAGTCAATCATGAGAGTGTATACAGAAGTAGTGATTAATTAAAAAAAAAATGACCAACACAGTTGTGTTTTTAAATGAAATATTACCTGTGAAACGAGTATCCTTGGACACTTAGATCCACCTTTATACTCTCAATTTCATTATTTGTGATAGTAGCTGGAACATATCAATAGCAAGTTATTAAACTCAACAAAATGATAAAACTTTTAAAAAACTATTTCATAGTAGATCTAAACATGGATTTATCAAGGCCTAGTGTGATGGCATATGCCTATAATCTTTGCATTTGGAAGGCTGAGGCAGGAAGATCCCAAATTCTCCCAATCTGGACTACATAATAAGACTCTATTGAAAAAAATACATTGATAACAAAAAGTGTGAATAATAACAAATGGTACTAATATGATAATTGTTTGAGGCTAATTTTAGGTTGTTGTTTGTTTACTAATACATATTAAATAAAAACTACATGTGACAGAATTATCTTCCCCTACTTTTGTTGCCACTATAAAATATAAGAAATGGATTTATTCAAAATACATATTAGACGGGTACCAGGGACTCTTGTGGTAATCCTAGCTAGTCAAAAGAATAAGGTCCAGAAAAAAAGATTGGAGCCAGCCCAGGCAGAAAAGTCCACAAACTTCACCTACCAAAAAATAACTAGTAAAAAGCAGGGTTAGAGGTGTGGCTTAAGTGATGAGGAGTGCAAGCCAGTCAAGCAAGCAAGCAAGCTGAGTCACTGCAAGACCTGAGTTCATGTCCTTTATATGGTCTTTGTTTTTGAGACAGAGTTTCACTATGTAGCCCAGACTGGTCTCAAATTCACAATCCTTCTACTTCTACCTCCCAAATGCTGAGATTATACTTGTGTACCACTAAGGCCATTCTGTTTCCCATCTCCTGCCAGAGTTAAAAGAAGTAAGGTCCCAAATGTACCTCATCTATTAAAAAAAATTACCCATAATCACTTCAGCTTTTTCTGGACTTCTAAACATTTTATATGCACGTGACATGGTAGAAATAAGTGCTTAGTTGGAATAACATTTTCTTATTAGAGTCCTTTTACTTCCTGTAAATAAGCAAAGTAAAAACTTTCTTTTCTTTTTACAGATGGACTGAACTATGTCCAATGATTGAGCCCAGGAAGAATCATGGGCTGGTATTTGTAAAAGACAAGATATTTGCTGTGGGTGGCCAGAATGGCTTAGGTACATGATATTAACTCAATGTCCTGATAAGTTTACTGATAGTTTATTATTTTGATTTTTTTTCATTATTTAGAGAATACTTTATTAGTTTCTGTAATCAAACCCACGTAAATGAGACCTTACTTATTTTTATTTTTTTAAGTATTTCTTGAAGTACATTTAAATATAATCCTGTACCATGTACATGATTGTATCTGTTTCAAGGGTCTGTGCACCAACATACTACAAAGTGAAGATATTAAACATTCATGTCTATGAATTGTCAGGAGTGGCTACCAGGCATTGTAACAATCTCATCATCCATGTGTCCCTCAAGGAACAGTATCATACCAGCTTAGAACTATTAAGCTGAACAAATGATTGAATCTTAAATTGTTTTAGCTTTTCAACATGTTACAAAAAAACTTTTAAAATAGAAGTTTTAGTTAGGTCTTGTATTCAAGTTCTAATTAGCCAAGTTTTCTGAACATTTAAACATTGCATGAAAATAGTGTTATTTTTTAAAAATTGAAGTTAAATCTTACATTTTTCCTAGAAAATTGCATCCTAGACGTCTTAAATAGTTGTTATAAATAATGGGAAATCTGAAATGCATGTTTAAAGGAAATTCACAAGTTTTATCAGAAAATGTAGCATCATTTTAGTACAACAAAATACAAATAGCTTAAGTTTAAAAAAAACTTTTATCTTTCATTCTCATCTATTTGTTTTCTATGAGTTGCAAAATACAGAAAGAAAATAATATTTAGATAATTATAATCATAGTTACTCAGAGAAGAAATCCCACTAGCTTAAGTTTTTCATTTTTCCAGCATCGGTAGAATATTTTTAATGTTACAGAAAAATCAGTATTTATAATTTTAATAATTATAGATTAAATATCTATTGTGTTAATGTAAGAATAAAAATTCAGCTGGTGGGCATTTGGGTATTCGTTGTAAGATTCTATAACCATTCTGTGTGTTTAAAATTTTTATTTTGAAAATTAGATGCTGGAAAAATATACAAATGACTGCGACCTTGAGATTATTCATATAATTTTTGATGTTTTCTTATTTTGCAGGTGGTTTGGACAATGTGGAATATTATGATATTAAATTAGATGAGTGGAAGATGGTATCACCAATGCCATGGAAAGGTGTAACAGTGAAGTGTGCAGCAGTTGGCTCTATCATTTATGTCTTGGCTGGTTTTCAAGGTGTAGGCAGATTAGGACACATCCTGGAATATAATACTGAGACAGATAAATGGATAGCCAATTCCAAAGTCCGTGCTTTTCCAGTCACAAGTTGTTTAATTTGTGTGGTTGATACATGTGGAGCAAATGAAGAGACCCTTGAAACATGAAAAAACAAGGGGACTTGAAAACTCAGCAGAGACTCAAAAATATAACCACCACAGCTTTGTTCCAAGAGTTTTGGTTACAAAGTTCTGGATTGGTATTTTGGTAAAGGGAGTTTCAAGTGAGTGAAGGAAGATCCTATAAAATATTTCTTTTATATGGATTTCCTACTTAATTCAAAAATTATATTTAACTGGCTACCTACCCAAGAACATATTAGCCAGAAAACTTGGAAAATGATAAGCATTTTTCAGTGAGTTTCTTAAACAAATTTCTGATTTGGCAGAGTGGGGGATGCTCATCAGTGAAACAGCCTCATCTTAGCTCTAGATTCTATATTCCTATGTCATATACGTGCTCTGTAGTTAAGTCTGTCTGTTTTATTCAGTCAATCAAGAACTAAGAAGTAAGCCAGATGTGGTGGTGCTTGTAATCCAAGAAGCTCTTGGGAAGCTGAGGCAGGAAGATCCTGAGTTTGAGGTCAGCCTGGGCTACATAGCAAGACCCTGTCCCAAAAACCAACAAAGGAACTAAGAAATAGTATATGAGTTGTATTCAAGATGGGAGCAGTTGACAGTCACCTCATTTTGCTCATCTTCATTTGTTTCATTTAGTGCCAAATGTATGCCTTTTTTAATTATAACCATACCCATGCTCCATAAAGTGTATTTAATCCAATCTATATTTTCAACATAAATGTTAAGCTTAGCTCCCAACATTAATATATATGGTTTTATTTAGTTTAAAAAGTGTTCTGGCCAGGCAATAGTGGCTCATGCCTGTAATCCTAACTATTCAGGAGGCTGACATCTGAAGATCACAATTGGAAGTAATCCTGGGCAGGAGAAATCCATAAGATCTTATCTCTAATTAACCACCCCAAAAAAACCATAAGTGGAGTTGTGGTTCAAGGTGGTAGCCTTGAGCAAAAGTTCAGGGACAACACCCAGATCCCAAGTTCAAATGCCGCACCCAACTACCCCTCAAAAAAAACATGTTCTATGCCTTTAGTCCTCAAATAAAAGCCACTCATAATAAGAATGATTAGCCAGTAAAAGATAAAACTATTTATAGGAAGCTTCTTGGAAAAGCACTGCTCATTTGAAAAGCACTGGTAGTTCCACCACAGTCAGTGTTGACTTTAAAGTTTTGTTTTTAGCAGTAATAAGGTATTTTGACTCATGGCTTCGCACTTGCTAGACAGGCACTTGTTGCTTGAGCCACACTTCTAGACCTTTTGCTCTGGTTATTTTTAAGGTAGGGTCATATTTTTTGCTCACTCCAGCCGGGACTGAAATCTCCTACCGATGCTTCTCAGCACAGCTATGATTACAGGCCTACACAACCATGCCTGATTTTTTTTCTGTTGAAATTGGGTCTCCAAAAGTTTTGGGAGGTAGGGGCCTGGGCTGGCATGGAACCTTGATCTTCCTGATTTCAGCCTCTCACATAGCTGAGATGACAGGCATCCATTCCCTCGCCCCCAAATTGGCCTAGAATTTTAATCCACTTCCTAGGTAGCTATGAGCCACTGGGACCTAGCAACTTTGAACTTTGTATGAGTTAAATATTTATATGTTTTCTTGTCCCTTGGAAGATCACACAGGAAATATTTATTGCAGTTGTCTCCAAAGGTTTTGTAATCTTTTGAGTTAAATTATGTCATCTTTCATCTGTTATGTGATCAACAAATTGGTTACCAGCTCAATTACTTTCCTAGTGGTGTTTGCCCTTTTCACTACATATAGAATGAGTCATATCAAATTGTCATCAATGTTTTTAATCTGATATTAAATATTTTTAACTTAAAACAGATTGGTCAGTTTTATTTATTCAAAAGGAAGTTTTAAAGCAATTTTATTGACATGTAATTCATATAACCATGCAAATCACCTATTTATACTGTTGGGTAGTTTTTAGTATATACACAGAGTTGTTCAGTCATCACCATAATTTTCTAATGCTGTCATCACCTCAAAGGAAAGCCTGGACTCAGCACTCAGCAATTCCCTTGTGTTAATTTCCTAGATCTGCTGTAACAAGGTACCTGAAATTTGGTGGTTTAACAAGAGATTTTTCCCTGCAGTTCAGGAGGCCAGTTGTCCTAAATCAGAGCGTCAGCAGGATTAGTTCCTTCTGGTGGCCCCAAGTCAGAAATTTCCCAGACTTCTCCCCTAGCTTCTGGTAGTTTCCAGCTGTATCGCATGGTCTCTGACTCTGTATTTTTATAAAGACAACATCCAATTAGATTTCACACACACACTACTACCACCACCAATCTCTATTATAGTCACTACTTACAACAACCCTATTTCCAAATGATGTCACATACTGTTTTAGGTAGGGATGAATTTGAGAGGAAAGAATACTATTCAATCCTCCAACCTTGGGCAACCACTAATCTTTCTGCCTCCAGATTGACTGTGATGAACATTTTTATGTAGGAGTTTGAATTTTTTAGTTTTTGATTTTTAAATGAACTAATTTTCTTGAGGACAGAATATCCATTTGTCATAATATTAGCTTAGTAGGGTAATCTCCCTATATTCAGTCTGGTCAAAGTATTTTAAATATATGAGGTGTTCTTTTTCAGGCTCTGTCAACTATACCATATTACTTAAACTATATGAACAGGAATTATGTAAGTCATAATAAAATTGTTGTCCCGTTAGTAATCATTATCATAATTTCCAATAAGCATCCTTTTCCCTCATTACTGTTTTACACAATTGTCAATGCCATGATAATAGACAAAAGCACACTATACTGAAAGTGTATTTTCTGTTATTTATTTTCTCAGAAAGATCCTGTCCTGTAATCTGTTCTACTTCGTTTTTGTGGCTACTGAATGTGTGTCCTTTGCCACAATGCTTTGATGACAGTAATTCAGTCCATACTTTTGAAAATCATAATATGAACATGAATGTTTAGCATCTTGAGAAAAGTTTTTGAATGAACAACAGTAATTAAACTGTGACTTTCTGGCCTAGCTTTCAAGCTTTGACAGTCTCATGAAAAAATTTTGAGTTGTTTAACTATATTGGTATATCAAAATTTGCCATTCAGTAAACAATTATTCTACCATGCCTCTGTCCATTTTACCTTATATACTGTTAGCAGGCAAAAATAAATTTATTGCATCTGCCAAAATGAAGGAGATATTTAAAGAACATTTTGGTTTTTAAGATTGACACTATTATTTACAGATATTTGCAAAGAGAGGGAAAAAATAATCTTTTCAATAATTAATGTTGGGAAAACTGGGCGTCCATATGCAAAAAGCTAAAAGTGGATCCCTAATTTGTCACCATGCCCAAATATCACCTCAAAGTGGATCAACATCAGACCTGAAACCTTGAACTCACTGCAAGAAGGATTAGGAGAAACTTTAGAATGCGTAGGCATAGGCAGAAACCTTTTTGAAAGGACACAGCAGGTAGGAGAGAGATGAGAAATAGGATTAAATAGATATTAAAGCTTTCTGCACAGCAAAGGAGTTACCAAACTAGAAAGACAGTCACAGATTGGGAAAAGATCTATACCAGCAATACATCAAACAAAAACCTAATATTCAAAATATGCAAGAAGCTCAAGAAACTCCTCCCAAAGCTAATAAACTAATCACTAAATGGGAAAAAGTGCTAAGGAGAGACTTTTCAGAAGAGGCAAGCATGGCAACGAAACACATTAGGAAATGTTCAATATCCCTTAGCTATAAAGGAAATGCAAATCAAAACAACTCTGAGGTTCCATCTCACCCCAGTTAGAGTAGCCAATATTGTGAACTCAACAAATATTGGTGGGGATATGGAAAAAAAAACACCCCTATTGTACAGTGGGAATTTAAACTAGTGCAACCACTCTGGACAGCAATCTGGAGTTTCCTCAAAACAATATAGATCTTCCCTTTGACCCAGCCACACCACTCCTAGGCATCCCAAAATATTACAACCCAGGATACCATAAAAGTACTTACACATTCATGATCATTGCTGCACTATTCACAATAGCCAAGTTATGGAAACTGCCCAGATGCCCTACAGTAGATAATTGGATCCCTAAAATGTGGTACCTATATACAGTGGAATTTTACACAGCCATTAAAATGTTATTTGCAGGGAAATGGATGGACCTAGAAAATAATTATGTAAAGTGAGATATGCCAAGCTCAGAGAGACAAACAGCTCATGTTTTCTCTCATACAGAAGATAGATCTAAAATACACTGTGACATGATATACAGGATTGTAGGCATTCACACACACCAAAGTAGGATACACTTACGAACTCAAAGGCACAAGCCTGCAAGCATCTGATCATGTAATATTTATCAAAATGAACTCCAGGAAATGGAAATGAGGTTTTTCCTTTGTGGCTGGTTTTGTTTCTAATTAGTTTATCTGTCTTTGGGAGGGAAAGGTGGGTCACAGAAATGGAGGGACAAAGGGTGAACACATGCAGCAGTGGTACTCACTAGACACATGTTGAAAATAAGCTATACAACTTGTGGGTGGGGTAAGAGGGGAAAACAGCAAGGCAAGGGGTGACATCCAAAAAGAAATGTATTCTACATGACTTATGTAACTGTAATCCCTCTGTACATAATCATCATAACAATTTAAAAAGACTGATACTGTTAACAAGAGTTTAAGAAAAGTCCTCAGGAAGCCTCATGAAGTTGGTACTGTTTGGATGTTGTCCAGGTTGTGTTATTCAACACGTGAATTTTTCTTTACCTTCTTTCATCTTACAGTTGCCTCAAGAGATTTTAAAGAGTTCTACTTTCATCTTCCTAATATTCCCTCTTTCCAACATGACTTATTTGGGGGCAGGGGGGAGGTATCAAGTATCTGAGCCAGGTACCAGTGGCTCACGCTGTAATCCTAGCTACTCAGGAGGCTGAGATCTGAAGATGGTGGTTCAAAAGCCAATATAGGCAGGAAAGTTCATGAGATTCTTATTTCCAATAAACTATTAAGAGAAAAGCCAGAAGTGGCACTGTGGCTCACATGGTAGAGTGCTAGCCTTCAGCTGGCTCAGAGACAGCACCCAGGCCCAGAGTTCAAGCCACAGGGCTGGCAAAAAAAAAAAAAAAATTGACCAGGTATTGGTGGCTCAACACCTGTAATCCTGGTTACTCAGCTGTCTGAGACCTGAGCACCAAGGTTCAAAGCCAGCCTAGGTAGTAGTCTGTGAGTCTTTAACCTCCCAAAAGCCCAAAGTGTAGCTAGCTATACCTCAAGTGATGGAGCACTGGCCTTGAACAGAAAAGCCCAGTGACAGTACTCAGGCCCAGAGAGGGAGACAATCCATCGATGCACAGTGAAAGGTGGACACAAGTTTACTTACACTCTTGACACCAGAAAGGGGTCCTGAGACCACCTTGCCCTAAGCTAGATCCCCAGAACCAAGAGCAGCCTCGACCACCAAACCTCCAAGCCTCCTGACCCCCTGACCTTTGTTAGTTGGTCTGCAAACCTCCAAGCCTCAGACCTCCAGAAGGGAAGGCTTTTCCCTTTCTTCCCTTCCTCCTCTCAGGCCTCTCCACTCTGCACAGGCTGGCCTGCCTGTGGGCTCCGGGAGGCGCCTCTCCACAGGCCTCTCTAGCCGGAGGTCCCGGAGGCCTGCCCCGCTCTGCTCTGCCAGGCTTTCCCCTACTCGCTGCTCTACTCTACTCCCCTCAAGACTCCGGTTTTTCCCTTAGTCTCCTTTTCATTCATGCTCCTCCCCCAAGCTTCCCTCTGTCCAATCCCAATAGGCAGCTCGCCATGTGGGGCTAGACGCCCCACCCCCTCTAGTAGCACGCCCCGCCCCCTTTTGCCGGCCGGGGGAGGGGGCCCATCCCTTTCATTTTGGCATGCCCCACCCCTTTCGGCGGCCAGCGGCACGCGGGCCGCGGTGATGTCAGCCGCTCAAAGCCTTGCCCTAACCGGTGGTCCAAGTCTGTGGAGTGGTGCGGCTCGCCTCTTGATGCCCCGCCCCCTCCAACAGGCCGAACCACGGGGCCACGCTGGTTATTGGGCTCCAATGATTACCGGGGCCCCACTGTAATAACAGTGTAATAACAGTTCAAACCCCAGCACCAGCACACACATACAAAAGTAATCTGTGCTGATAAATCTTCTGAAGTGGTGTCTTACTAACTAGAAAGCTCTGTTTTCTAAAGTTATGTATATTCTCTCATAACCAAGTATAAAGGTTCAAGATCTAGTGTATTCAAGTCTTAGCAAGGATTACCCCAAATTTGACTTCTAACTCTATAAAAATTTCCTATTTTCAACTCCCAAGATAACTTTTCATTTTTATTATTCTTTTATAGAAAGCATTCTCATTTAATAATCTAAGGATAATTTAATATTAACCTTTCTACTTTGCTACATATTCCATGGTTTAAAAAAAAAAACAGAGATGGGGCTGGGAAGGTGGCTCAGTGGTAGAGCGCTTGCCTTGCAAGCCTGAGGCCTTGGGTTCGATTCCTCAGCACCACATAAGCAAAAAGAAAAAAGCCGGAAGTGGCACTGTGGCTCAAGTGGTAGGGCACTAGCCTTGAGCTGAAGAGCTGAGGGACAGCGCTCAGGCCCAGAGTTCAGGCCCTAAAACCAGACCCAAAAAAAACAGTTTGCACTGACGTCAAATATGTGTTCCCTGGTTGCGCACTTATATCTGAAACTAAACATTAAACAGACAATAATCAGTGAATATCTCAGGGTGGAGTTTGATGGTGAAATGTGTGCTCAGTCTGCCTGCACTAGATCCTGGGTACAGTACCCAAATAACCAATCCCCTCCTAAAAATACTCACTGGGACCATATGAGGGAAGACTAGTTCTGTTGGAAATCCATGAGAACCATAGGCATTTTTCTGGAATATTACATTCTGCAGAAAACAATCAATTTCTTTCCCCTTGTGGGTAGTTGGGATGAAGGGGCTTCCCAATTCCATTCAGCCTCTCATGTTTTTCTTTAAAAAAAGAAAACATACATCCTCCAAGTAGGGATAATTGCCTTACTAGATGGGTCTTTGGAGCCAAATTTTACAGATTTTTTGACAACAGATTTTCTGACAACTCACCCATCTCTGGGACCTGCTAGCTCTTAACTCTTAAGACACTGAAGACTTAGCATCTGCCTTGTAGGAACTTAATTTGATCTTTTTCTATCTTCTAAGTAATTCACTATCAGCTTTTCTGTGAGCATTCAGTCTTTATAAATTGTGGTTTGAGTTTGTGGATATCCTAGTACAATCAAAAATTGTTTTAAAATTTTTTCCTTCTTGTGTGAGGATTTTCAAGAAGAAAGGAAGGCATGCACAGTTTCATTCTACCATCTTAAAACAAGAAGGTTCCTTCCTACAACACTCTTCTGGTTTCTACCATACCTCTCACAAAACTGATCACTACCAAGTTCAGCCTTAGCCTTTGACTCTCATCCTCTCACATCCTCTGCCAAGACAGTCTCAACTCTGTGTCTATCCCTCCACATACAACAAACATCATGCTCACCTTAAAGTTCATCCACTAGTATTTGAGGTATCTGATCCCAGCAAAGTCCTTACATAGCATGCATTTGCAGGAATGTGAGTGGCTACAGAGAACTTAATTATACAGGGGGAAAAAAACTATTAAAAATAGAAAGCAAGCTTCACACTATCAAAGAAGAGAAATTATACAAATCCTGTGATCTTAGGTTGAAATTTCAGATTATATCTTTGAGATATAGATGAAGACATATATAGGAAAGTGAATGTATGCATTACACGTATATATCTGGTAGCAATGGTCCATGCAAGGGCCTGGGAGCAACGCTATCTCAATAGTTATAAGGGCACCTAAAGCTCAAATCTTGCATCTTTTTAAAATTTTATCGTTAAGTAGTTGTATAAAGGGAGTTACCATTTAACACATCAGTTCATAAATACGCGCATCTTTGTCGATGTCACTTTCTGATCCTATTTTAAATCTCAACATTTACGTGAACCCTGAAGAATTCTCAGTATCTAGGGTATAGGGGCTGCTGTAAGCGCTTTTTGGTTGCAAAGTGTCCTAAGTGTTTCCTGTTCACAGCTGCCTTCTTTCTCCTCCCCTTACTCATCCAGACGTCTGGCTGGGCAAGACTTTGTCACCCCAGAGTTTTTACTTTTTCGGCAGTTACAAACGAAAAGAACCACTCGATCTCTGAGATCCATTCCAACCCTCTCCTCAGAACCTTTGCTTAAGTTTGCTAATTTCCATCCCGCACGCGGGCCAACCGTTTATCTTTTCTCGAGGTTACGGTTCAAACAGCAGCGCCCAACGTACCAGCACAGTCCCGCCCTTCTCGAATTTTTATTGGCTAAAATTCACGCTTCTCATTGCATTGTGGGCGGGACAAGAGGGGAACAGCCTTTCCCGGCGCATGGCGATGACGCCACAGTGGCGCGACCAAGTCTTCCGTTGCTTAGTCTTGTGGTCTCACCGGCTGCTGCCAACTAACCGATGACTGCTCCGCCGGCGACGCCGTCGTAATGACCATTTGTCAATTCTTCCTTCAGGGCAGGTGTCGCTTTGGAGACCGGTGCTGGAATGAACACCCCGGAGCCCGGAGTGCGGGTGGGGCGCGGCAGCAACCGCAGCCACAGGCCTCAGGTGACGTTTCCCGTTGTCCACGGCCACCGGCCCCAGCCGGGAACGGCCTTGCGTTGGGGTCCTGCTGGTGGGGTCCGGACACCCCCTGTCTGCCCCCCAGGAGCCCCAGATTGGCGTCGCGCCGCCCCGCTATGGTCAGTGACGCGGACGGCCCCGCGTCGCTGCCCTCTCCAGGCCCACCGGGCGCCGCTCTGCGTGGTGGTCGGATGCTCTCCTCCCGGAGTTGGGCAAGTCGGGTTTTGCCGAGTACCTGTGGGCCAGGGTTTGGCCCCCGATGCTAGTGCCAAACAGTGAGTATCAAAATTAGAAGTATGAATCCAAGCCGCGGTGTGCGGGGGTCGTGGTAGTGGTCGGGAGAACTCGCGTGTGGCGACCCCGGACTCCGCCTTGAAGACCCTAAAGAATATTTGATCTTCTCTCTAGACACCAAGAAGCTGATTTTTATTATATTTTCTGGGGGGGGGGGAGAGAAGCAAACTATGTAGGTCAGAATCTTCATTTGAGGGAAGTGGCAAATTCATTTGAAAATGAAAGGTAGTCACCTCTCAGAAAAATGCGCACATATGTTTAAAATTTTAGGATAACATTAGGAGGGTTAAACTAGACCTAATGAGAAAAATGTAATTTAAGATTTGAAAGAGAAGTCCCCAGTAAGTGTGTGATTTTATTGTTTGTTTTAGGTAATAACAGGCGTGGATGGAATGGCACCAGCCAGAGATACTCCAGTGTCATCCAGCCATCTAGTTTTTCCAAATCCACACCATGGGGAGGCAGCAGAGATCAAGAAAAGCCATCGTTCAATTCTTTTGATTCTGGAACTTCAACTAGCAGGAACAGAGGTTTTGGATTATCTCAGAACCCATTTGCTTCAACTGCCTCTGAGGAGCAGAAAGAAGAAAAGAAACTTCTGTAAGTGAAAGTTTTCATCACTACCAATTTGCCCATTTTCCATAAGCATAGTTTGTTTGTTTGTTGTTGTTGTTGTTGTTGATTTTTTTAAAAAAAGTAATCTGGGGCTGGGAAGGTGGCTCAGTGGTAAAACGCTTGCCTTGCATGCATGAGGCCCTGGGTTCGATTCCTCAGCACCGCATAAGCAAAAAGAAAAAGAGCCAAAAGTGGCGCTGTGGCTCAAGTGGTATAGTGCTAGCCTTGAGCTGAAGAGCTGAGGGACAGTGCCCAGGCCCAGAGTTCAGGCCCCACGACCGGACCAAAAAAAAAAAAGGTAATCTAAGATGGGCATCAGTGGCTCATGCCTGTAATTCTAGCTACTCAAGAGGCTGAGATCTGATCTTGATTCAGATCTACCAGTACAGACACAGAAGTCCATGAAAATCTTAACTCTGATTAACACCCTCCCCCTCCCCCCCAAAATACAACCTGGAAGTAGAGCTGTGGCTCAAGTGATAGAACACTAACCTTGAGCACAAAAACTCATGGACAACATCTATGCCTGTTCAATCCCCAGGAACAGCATACACAAAAAAGTAATCTCTTATTTAGAAACAGATAAATCAAGAAAAGAAAATTACCCATGATCTTATCACAGATCTAATTACTGTTTTGTTATGTATCCTCTAGATTTTATTTCACTTAAAAGTACATCTTTTTCCATATTAGTAGAATGTTTTTGTAGGCTTGATTATGCATTTTCCACTTTCTAATGATAACATTATACTATGAATATCTTCTCTAAGACTAGTTCTGCTAAAGATGATTAGAAATTGTGAACTTCTTTACAAAGTATCAGGTAATCTAGAATATAATGTAATCTTCATGACCAATATCATCAATCTTTCTAAAAATTATACTTTAGTTACCTTACTGTACTGATTTTGTTTTCCTTCATTATTGTTTGGTAGATTTATGGTATTCCTAAAGAACATTAGTGGTAAAATTCATGACCAGCGCCAAAATAGTCTCACCAATAATTTCATAAATAATAAATCTTAATGAGCAAGTGAATAACCACTCTTCATTCCCCCTGCTTTTTCAGGGAAGGAATTGTAAAAGATATGGAAGTTTGGGAATCATCAGGGCAGTGGATGTTTTCTGCCTATTCACCAATGAAAAAGAAACCTAATATTTCAGGTAACTAAATTCTAAGTTCAAATTAATGTGTTTTGGGTTGTTTGTTTGGTGGTCTGGGAATCAAACCTGGGGTCTCACTAACACCAAGATCATAATTACACAGACATTAACTTTAAATACAAACTTAGCTTCAATTAGGACACTTAAGACCTTGTTTATAGTATTCAAAAAATAATTCAGATTGAGGTTGGAGAATGTAGTTCTTTTTCTTTTTTGTCAGTTAAGGGGGCTAAACTCTGGGCCTGGGCCCTGTCTTTCAGCTCTTCAGCTCAAGGCTAGTGCCCTACCACTTGAGCCACAGTGCCACTTCAAGTTTTTTTTTGGCTTACATGGTGCTGAGGAATCAAGCCCAGGGCCTCATGCATGCTAGGCAAGCACTCTACCACTGAGCTAACTTCAAGCCCCAGAGTAGTAGTTCTTTTAAGATATATAGTATATAGTTCTTATGGAAAAGAAATAGTAAAAAGAAGACCCACCACAGTTCTAATTCCATATACCTAAAAAGTTCTGCTTTCTTAGTACCTAGTATGTAAAACTTCCTAATCTTCTGGCTGCCTGCAATGAAGACAAAGAATTACAGATCCTGCCTGCCATTAAAGCATTAACTTCCTGGTTCTAGTCATTCTTTCTTGTGTTTTCTTCTAAGAATAGTTACTTTTCATAAACCATGTTGAGTCCTGTCATGGAAATAATGTTTGAAGATGACCTACAGAGATGCCATTTTCTTTTGACCCTAGTCCCTTTCTGGGCTGAAACCTAAACCAACAGGCTTTTCCAAGCCTACTTTGAGCAGCCCTGAGCCTTTGTCCTATTGTATAAATAGCTAGCAGATGGTAGATATCTATGCACCAGAATTCTAGGATCACCACTCTGTCTCAGCTCTATCTCCTCTTTCCTCTTTCTCTGTGATTATAGCATGCTTTAATCATTCTTTTATTCATTTAACAAATATTTAGTGAATTTATATTGTGCCATGTTCTATGTTCCAAGTGCTAGTGACATAGTAGTAAGCTAGGTAAACAAAATTTCACCCTTATGATGCTTAGGTCTTGGAGAAGGGAAACAAGAAACAATGCAAATAGGTAATTTTAAATAGTGATGTTTTAGACAGGAAATAAAATAGTAATGAGCCTTTAATAAGTTCAAATATTAGTACTTCAAGTATTAAGTCTTAATCAGTTCAAAAGTAAAGCTGATGCCTAAGGCCTTAAACAGTGATTCTCAGAATGTAAAATGTAGATACTGAGTAGGCTGCCATATAAAATGTTAGATACACAGTTAACATTTCAGACAAACCAGTAGAGAGAGAGAGAGAGAGAGTGTGTGTGTGTGTGTGTGTGTGTGTGTGTGTGTGTTTGCGCGCGTGCGCGCGCGCTGTGCCTTAGCTCTTTCACTGAAGGCTGGTATTCTATCACCTGAGCTATAGCTCCATTTCAGGTTTTTTTTCTGGTTAATTAGAGATACTAGTCTCACAGACTTTTTTTTGCCTAGGCTGGCTTCAAACTTCATTCCTCATATTGCAGCCTCCTGAGTAGCTAGGATTACAGGCATGAGTCACCAGCACCCAGCCCCAAAATAATATTTTAATATATGTGTAATATGTAATATTTGAAACATACTCATGTTTTATAATGTATTATGTTTGAAATTACCTGGACATCCTATATTTTTATTTGCTAAATCTGACACCCATTCCCTGAGATTTCTTTAAGAATTATATAAGTAAAAATCTTTTTAAAGTAATAAGAAATCAATTGCTTTTTTTCACTGTGTTGACATTTGTATTTTGGTATAAAAGCATTGATAAGTAAAACTGTTACACTTGTATCTTAGTGTGAATCAAATCACAGATAACAAATTACTAGCTGACTATAGTAGTTGCAGTAAAGAAAAATTTTACATGCCATTTGAAGGTAATGAAGGAATAAAAATAACATAAAAATAACTAAGTCTTGTCACTTCAGTATATGTGTTAAGTACTATATGACAAGATGGTAAATCCAATGAAGACCTTCTGCCCATTCTCAAGTGTGATATGTGTCTTAAGGGAAAAATGCCTATGTGTAGCCATCCTCTTTTTTCCAGACCTTTCTTTATTGGAAAGGACAACTATGATTATTAGACTTAGGTATTTGGCAGACATATTCTAAAAAAAATGAGTAAATAAATGGAATGAGCCTGTCACTTCAAATAAAAAAAGACAGCATTTATTGCCAATGGTAAAATTCAAGCTTTTGTGCAACACTTAGAATTGTGGTAAACTTTTTTCTCACTATGAGCATAATAGCTTCTTAATAATCCAGATCTCTTATAATGACATTGAAGTCAACACTAACAAATGTGAGGGAGGGCAGTTTGTTGTTATTCTGTTTTGCCATTCTTTTTCATTACCATATATTAGTTGTACAAGGGAGGATTTTGTATAATATTTCCATACATGTTTACAATGTATTACAGTCTCATCCCCTCTACCACATTCTCTTTACTCGCTTCCCCAAAACAATTTCATTTCTACTTTTTTTTTTATTGGTTGTAGGGCTTGAACTCTGGGCCTGGGCACTGTCTCTGAGCTTGAGGTCCTGAAGACATCTATTATAAGTCATAAATTAACCTTTCCCATGCAGCTAGAATAATGCTCCTTTGTTCCACCATTGTAAAAAAAATTTGGGGGGGGGGTCCAGTCATGGGGCCTGAACTCTAGAACTGGGCGCTGTCCTTCAGCTCTTCAGCTCAAGGCTAGCACCCTACCCCTTGAGCCACAGCGCCACTTTCGGCTCTTTTTCTTTTTGCTTATGTGGTGCTGAGGAATCAAACCCAGGGCCTCATGCATGCAAGGCAAGTGTTTTACCACTGAGCCACCTTCCCAGCCCTACCATTGTAAAAATTAAGAAAGTAGTTACTCAAGTCATTTCCTGTGTTCTGTAGTTCAGATAAGGAATTTGGTTGATCACCAGGTTTAAGTTAGATTCCTGGGAGGAATAGGCAATAACTACGAGGACAGTGTTCATGACTAAGGTAATGAATACATTTCCTATCAAGCATTGTTACCTCTTTCTTTGTTTTTCCCCTACAATCCCTTCCCACCCCACCTCTCCCACTCCTCCCTCCCCCCCAAGTTGTAAAGTTGTTTTCAACATAGTGTCTTGTACATCTCATTAACTTTAACATTTTTATATTGTTAGGTAAAAGTAATTAAAATAATACTATATAAATACCTATATACCACAGAATCTTACAAATAGCAAAAACTCCGCAATACAGAATTAAATTTTTTTTTAAACCCATGATACAGTGAAGCTGCAATAAGTGAACCACAATACAGCAAGGGGGTGGCTGTGTGTGTGTGTGTGTGTGTGTGTGTGGCTGTGTGGCTGCACAGCTCAGCCTTAAGCTTGTTAGGTAAGTGTTCTACCACATGAGCCACACACCATAGCCCTTTTGTGGGGGAGGAGGCTTTTAGCTATTTTTCAGGTGGGATCTTGTATTTTTGCCTAGGAATAGCCTTAGATCTTTCAAGCATCTGGGACCACACATCTGACTTACTTTTTGAGATTGGGTCTTGCTAACTTTTCTGCCCACACTGGCCTCAAAACTATCTTCTCAGTCTCTACTTGCATTTGCAGATATGAACCACCATGCCTGGCATCATTTGCCTTTTAGTTTTGTTTATTGTAGACTGTGACAGAAATGTTTTACACTGAAGTTTGAATGTGTATGTTGATAAATCTCTCATTATTGTTTCTGCTCCACTTAGCTTTAGAAAATTCTTGCCTATTCAAAGTAACTATTCTAATTTTTTATACTTTACTAAACATCAGAATGAAAACTTTGAATTTTTTCCTTATGATTATGAAAATCTTAATGATAATCAACGTTAGCATATTTTCTTGTTTAGCACTTCAAACATTACTGTCACAATTATTGGTCTGATTCCTCACTCAGGTTTTACAGACATTTCGCCAGAGGAATTGAGATTTGAGTACCTTAACTTCTTAACCAGCAATAACTTACAGAGTTATGTAAGTTTGTTTACTGTTCATCTACTTCAGTAGTAAATTGGCTGTCAATTACTATGTTCTGTGTTTGTAGTGGCTTACTTGTATTTCAGCAATGCAGTCTGCTGATTTTTTTTAAGGTCAATACTTTTAGAAGTTGTCTTCTAGATTATTTTCTTTGAAATTGGCTAGCTACTTAAATTGATAATAATTTTGGCAGTGGTAACAGGAATATTGTTTTTAATAACAAATTACCCACCCTCCAGACTCAGAAATCAAATGTTTTTTTATTGTTTGATAAACACTTACTGAACATTTGTTAGGTATGGATGCCATGATGAATTCTAGGGAAGGTGAAATGAAGCTGGGCACCAGTGGCTCATGACTGTAATCATAGCTACTCAAGAGGCTGAGATCTGAGGATTGTGGATCAAAGCCAACCTAGGCAGCAAAGCCCATCAGACTCTAGTACACTACCAAAAAGCTAGACATAAACTATGGGTAAATGGTAGAGCCCTAGCCTTGAGCAAAAGAAGCTCAGGGATAGTGCCCAGTCATGAGTTTAAGGCCCAGTACTGGTGTGACCATACACACACACCAAAAACAAAATCCCCAAACAGATGAAGCTGGAACAGTGGCTCACACCTATGGTTCATGTCTGTGGTGCTAGCTACTCAGTTGGCTGAGATTTGAAGCTCATGGTTTAAGCCAGCCTAAGCAGGAAAATCCATAATTTCTTATCTGAAAAAAAAAAAGCAAAAACCTGGACGTGAAGGTATGGCCCAAGTAGTAGAATGCCAGCCTTGAGTGAAAAAACTGAGGGACAATGATTAAGCACTGAGTTCAAGCCTTCATTCTGGCCTTCTCTCCCTTCCCCTTCTCCTCCCAAAAAAACCTGTTACGTGAACTTTTTGTGATTTTTGGCAAATGATGTGTAGAAATTAACCACTCAATATTGAGTTAAAATCTTTTTGTTTTTTCTCTTCAGCTCACCTCTGTCCAACAGTTAATAAATCAGTGGAGGAATAGGATAAATGAATTGAAGAGTCTAAATACTTCGACTAAAGTAGCTCTGGTGAGTACCTGAGTGTTGTTCAGGGAAGTAGTTTATTGGTGTTCTTTTGCAGGATATTTCACCTTGAGTTTAGAGTGCAAAGCACAAAAAACATAAATATTCATGGACATCAACATAAGTATATACCTGTGTACATAATTTTATATGTGGATAAACAGCACATGAATCTAAGGGACTATTTAGGAGGAGAAGGAGAAGTGAAGAAGGAAAAAGAAAGATGGAGGGTGAGTAGTTTTGTAATATAATGCAAGTTTATATGAAAACATCATAAAGAACCTTAATGAGATCTATTGATAAATAAAGAGTTGGGGGTTGGACAAGAGAAACAGGTTCCATAAGAGGAGGTACTAGTTAGGAGGACTTAGATGACAGGAGGTTGAATTGAGATAAGATTGTGTCCATCTCTTAAAATAGAACGTGAAACTTGTTGAAATTGTTTTGGGAAAGGGGAAGAAAAAGTGATAAAGGAGTGAGATGGATTGTAATACATTGTAAATGTGAACATGCAAGTGAAATCCTCCTCTGTATAATCTTTTCTGTATAACTAATTTAAAAAAACCTGTTAAAAAAATAAAATAAAATAACCTGTTAAAATTAGGATACATACATTTTCACAGTATCATTTAGAGTGGAGATCCTAGAATTGTTTTCTCTCTTATTCCTTCGTCAGTAGGGATAGCTGTGTGTGGTGACCTGTGACCTATAATAGAACTTTAGAAACAGGCCAAGCTGAACACCAGTGGCTAATACTCAGGAGTTTGAGATCTGAGGATCATGGTTTGAAGCCTGCAAAGTCTGTGACACTCTTATTTCCAGTTAGCCACCAAAAAGCTAGAGATGGAGGAGTTGCTCAAGTGATGAGAGCCTTGAGAAAAACAAAAAACAAAAGTTAAAAAGTTAAAAAACAAAAAAGTTAAGAGATAGCACCCAGGCCCTGAGTTCAAGGTCCAGCACTGACACTAAAGAAAAAGGAAAGAAGAAAACTGTAGGTAGAAGATCATGAGTCAGAAGCCAGGATGGATTACATAATGAATCTATCTCAACTCCCCAAAGTAGAAGAAGAGGAGGAAAGAAAATAGGTACAATTTTGCTTTTTTAAAAGTTTTTTTTAGGCTGAGCACCAGTGGCTCACTCCTATAATTGTAGCTACTCAGAAGGCTGAGATCTGAGGAGCACAATTTGGAGCCAGCCTGGGCAGAAAAGTACCTGTGAGACTCTTTAACTGAAGTGCCACTGTGGCTCAACTGGTAGAGCACTAGCCTTGAGCACAAAGAGGCTCAGGGACAGAACTGAAGCCTCACATTGACAAGAAAAAAAAAAGTTTTTAGGATAAAGCTTTTAACTTTGATAGTACTAGTTTTGAAAATTGGGAAATACCATATAAATTCAAGTATTTAGAGTTATCTGTATTTAAAAAGGAATTACTTGGCCAGGTACCAGTAGCACATGCTTGTAATCCTAGCTACTCAGGAAGCTGAGATCTGAGAATCACAATTCAAAACCAGCCCAATAGGAAGGTCTGTGAGACTCATCTTCAGTTAACCACCAAAAAGCTAGAAATAGAGCTGTGGCTCAAGTGGTAGAACATTAGCTAACACTAACAAAAGCTCAGGGAACAGTAACCCAATCCCTGAGTTTAAGCCCTAGAAAAACACACACACACATGCGCACACACACATGCGCACGGAAGGGTGTGGGTAAAGGTGAGGGTGGGAGACAGGGAAATTTTTTGAAAAATAATCTGAATATACATTGAGACTTAGGTGACTTAGGTGTACTATTTTGACCCAAGGACACTAACCACAGGTTAGTGGTCCCCTTTGTTTCCCAGGATACATAGTCCTGACTAGACTCCTGGTGAAAGCTTTCAGTTATACCATTTGGCAATACTGGGGTTTGAACTCAGGCACTCTGAGTTGAGCCATGTCTCCAGCCCCAAGTTGTAATGTCAGCTGAATTTAGTAGGACTTTTGGAAATATTATATCCCTAGGTTGACTGGGCCCCTCAACATTAATAAGAGTTGATGAGATAGGGCTGAGTCTAAGGAACTGCAGAAACTCCCTCAGAACTGGAAGTTCTTTGTTCTTTGCTTCTCTCCTCCGGCCCTTCCATCCTCAGCTGGCTAAGCATGTGTCAGTAATTTGTTCCTTTTCCTGAAGAGCATTGCATTGTATGCATATATTATGATTTGTTTATCTGTTTACCTATTAGTGTTAGCTGTGGAACAGTCGCCTGGGACAGAAAGTAAGAAAAGACTAGGAAGACACAAAGAGAAATTTTTAACAATAGTGTTCTGATCTTGATTATGGTGAGGACTGTAAGTGTGTTCAAATTTGTGTGTGCGTGTGTATGTGTGTGTGTGTGTGTGTGTGTATGTGTGTATGTGTGTGTATTGGAGTTTCCAAATGAGAATTCCACCTGCTTAATTAGGAGAATCTTGGAGGGAGTCAGCAAAAAGTTCCTTGAAAAGGGCATTAAAATTTTGCTTAGTGGAGGTGAAAAAGCCTAAGAATATTTTTAAGGGATAAAAGATGCTTAATGAATTTTAGTGGTGAACTTTTAATACTTGTAATCCACTTTTTCAAACATGAAAGTAGTCTAAATATTATCTAAAATACTATCTAGCTTGCTTGATAAATGCAGCTATAACCTTAATAGACACTGTTTGCTTGTTTTTGTTTTTGGTGGTACTGAGGTTTGAACTCAGAGTTCATGCCTGTTGAAGGTAGGTGTTCTGTCACTGAGCTATACCTCCAGCTCCTTTTGCACTATTTGATGTTAGAGTATTAGTTTGAATCTAGACCAGCCTGAACCATGATCCTCCTATTTATGCTACCTACTGTAGCTAAAATGGCAGATATGTGCCACTATGTCCAGCTTTCCTATAGAGCTGGAGGTCTTGTGGACTCTGCCCAGATTGGCCTGGCCCAGTCTTTTTTTTTATCTCAGTCTCCCATATTGGTGGGATGGCAGGTATATATTACTTTGCCAAGCTATTAGTTGAGATGGGGTCTCAACAAATGTTTTCCTGTGCTAGCCTTGACTTAAACAATTCTCCTGATCTTTACCTCTCAAGTAGCTAGGATTGCAAGTATAAGCTACCAGCTCTCAAGTGAAGTTTTTGTTTTGTTTTGGTTTGTTTTTTCCTTACATCAATACAAGGGGGAATCTCATTGTCACATTTCCACACATGTTTGCAATGTTTTCCAATTGTTCTCACCCATTCTTTCACTCTTGAGAAGTTTTGAGGTTTTTTTGTTTTGATGCCTGTCTTGGGGCTTAAACTCAGAGCTTAGGTACTGTCCTTGAGCCTTTTTTGCTCAAGGCTGGTACTCTAGCAGTTGCCCATATATATACACATATATTTTCACCCCATGGGCTAGAGGTGTGTCAAGGCCCTGAACTCAAATCTCAGTCACACACAGAAGAAAATTATTATTATACTATTTTGTACTCTTTGTAGAAATTTAGAGAGTATAAAATTAAAAGCATCCATAATTACTCAGACAGAGATAGTCTCCCTCATTTTTTTGTGTTTGGTTTTTTGTGTGTGGGTACTGAGGCTTGAACTTGGGGTCTTAGATTCTTGGTAAGCTCTCCCCCCCTCCACTCCGGTCAGTTGTGGGGCTTGAACTCTGGGCTTGGGCGTTGTCCCTGCCCTCTTCAGCTCAAGGTGAGCACTCTAACACTTGAGCCAAAGCGCCACTTCTGGTTTTCTAGTAGTTTATTGGAGGTGAGTCTCAAGGACTTTCCTGCCCGGGCTAGCTTTGAACCTCGATCCTCAGATCTCAGCCTCAGGATTACAGGTGTAAGCCATTGGAGCCCAGCTTTGCTTAGCTCTTTTGCTCAAGTTGACATTCCCCCAACTTGTACCACACCCTCATTTGCTGCTTTTTACTGGTTAATTGGAGATAAGAGTCTCATGCTTCTTTGCCTGGGCTGTCTTCAAACCTCAGATCTTAGCCTCCTAAGTTGCTAAAATTATAGGTGTGAACCACTACTGCCCAGCACTATTTATTTCTTGATGTATATTTTTATGTATATTCATATTTTGATTGGTATTATATTTTATATAATATTCTGTTCTGTTCAACCTACTATGGGTATATTTCCATGTTAAACATTGAACACCACATTCAATGTTTAAATGTATGTTTTAAATTTTGAGTTTGGCTGTAAAGTGTGTACAAAGCTGCTTAAGAATTGTTCATAAAGCACATAATTATTTGCATATTCTTTTTAAAGCTCTCTGATACAAAGGATGGAGCAAATCCAGTGAGCCCACCCTTTGGCTTTGGAAGTGGGCAAGTAGGAACATTTGGGGCATCAGGTAAGTATAAAGCAATGCAAGATTTCACTGATTCAGAGAAGTAAAATTTCATAACTTTTGGGTTATAAAATCTGAATCACATTTCAAATCACTCTTGCAATTAATGTCAACTTCCATTAGGAAGCCTCAGAAACATTTGTAGAAAGCAGGCCAGGATGGACATGTGTTTTGAAAGGCACTCAGCTCAGGTTGTAAAAGTACACTCTTAAGAGCCAGGCAGCAGTGGCTCACACCTTACTCCTAGCTCCTCAGGAGGCTGAGATCTGAGGATAGGTCAAAGCCAACCTGGGTGGGAATGTCCATGAGACTTTTATCTCCATTTAACCACTAGAAAACTGGAATTGGAACTATGGCTAAAAGTGGTAGAGCATTAGCCTTAAGCAAAAGAGCTCAGGAAAAGTGCCCAGGCCTGGGTTCAAGCCTCATGACCCACCAACATAAAAAAAGTACACTTTAAGAATTTTTCTCAGGAGTTTCATAGGAATTCACAGCTGTGTTAGCAACACCTTTGAAAATGTTCTTGTCGTTATAAAGCTGTCAGATGACAGCTCTGGTGAGAGAGATTGGCAAAACAAAGGGGAAATCACTGTTGTCCTTGAGATTTCTTGTGGGTGCAAGTAATGCACAGTAGCAGAAACAACAGGGAATTGGGAGTGTAGTGGTTCATTCTGACCTTTCATTTTCATTCTTCCAGTAAGCCCTTTCTCAGTATCCAGACATGGCAGACATACGAGAAAAGGGTCCTGTGGCTACATTTTTTTTTTCCTCTCAAGGCTAGGACTCTACCACTTTTTTTTTTTTTTTTTTGTCGGTCGTGGGGCTTGAACTCTGGGCCCGGGCGCTGTCCCTCAGCTCTTCAGCTCAAGGCGAGCGCTCTACCGCTTGAGCTACAGCGCCACTTCCCGTGGCTACATTTTTTTACTCTACCAAATTGTTGTTTCCATTTTCTGTGTTTTGTAGGTTTTCCCGTGAATAGCAGCAGCAGTGGCAGTGCTCAGAACTTTAGTTTTAAAACAAACCCTGGATTTGGCACAAACCCTGGAAGCCCATCTGTGTTTGGTAGTCCTCCAGCATTTGGAGCTGTCCCCTCTGGCAGTTCTGCCATCTCAGCTTCCACTCCAGCTTTTGGATTCAGGAAACCTGATGTCACATCTGCAGCTGCATTTTCATTTAAGAGCCCTGCGGCTTCTGGTTTTGAGTCACCTGGATTTTCAGGATTTCCAGCAGGCCCCATAGGGGCTCCAGCCTTTGGAAGCAGCAGTGCCGCGGCTGGCTTTGGTAGTCCTAGTTCTCAGTCTCACACTGTGTTATCTAAGCAACCTAATGACATCTTCGGAGGTAGCAGTGGTTCCACCTCTCTCCCAGTCTCAAATGTCATCATCACTACACAGAATGAATTATTTACACCCAGGGATCAACTGACAGCGGAAGAACTGGAGCAATATCAATCCAAGAAATTTACGCTGGGAAGAATTCCTTTAAAACCTCCACCTATGGAACTCCTAAGCATCTAAAGGGTAATTTTAAATACAGAATAGAATAGCTTTTCTATTTTTTTAGTTTTTTTTGTGGTTTAGGGGATCAAACTTGAGCTTTATGTGTGCTGGGTAAGCACTTTTACCTCCGAGCTATACCCTCAATCCTAAGAATAGATTTTGAAGTTATTCTGTGTGATTCATATGAAAGAGCAAAAGTACACACACACACACACACACATTGTGCGTGAGGAATATAACTTTGGATAATTTTAGTAATTTTAAAGTTTTTTTCCTTAAGCCTAACTAAACAAAACATACCTCCCAGGTTTAAAAAAACAACAAAACAAAAACATCATGCAAGGGATGATTTTTTTTTTTTTGGTACTGTAATCATGAGCAGAACTGAAAAACATTAAATAATTTTTTCATTGTGTACTGTCTCTTTAAAGCTTATATTATGTAAGCCCTATGATCAAACTTAGGGCTAAGCAAGTACTCTGAGGTACATCACAGCCCCTGATTTTTTTTTAATGTAAATAGTATTACCTAAGAAAAGGTATGTAAGCCAGATCATATCTGGAAAGGAGTCAGTCCACAAAGGATTCAATTTCTGATATAGTCTATGAAGAACTTATCTCCAACTAACAGTAGTAAAATCCTAGAATTTTCCTGCCCCTATACTACCTATAGATTGATGTCTTTGTCTTTTCCTGCTGCTATAAGAAAACATCTGAGCCTGTGTAATGTATAAAGAACAGAAATTTATTCTTCATAGTTGTCAAAGGTAGAAATTTCAAGGTGTGGGTTTGCTTTAGTTCTGTTGAGTGCCTGAACTCCTTCCAGCCTTCCAAGATGGTACCTTGTTGCTGCATGCTCACATGGCAGAGAGAAAATGACAATAACAACAACAAAAACCATGAATGCTGTGTCCTCATAGGATCAGTGGAAAGGAACAAGCCTGTTTTCTGAAGCCTATAGAGATTGAATCCCTTTTTTAAAAGCCCTACTTTTAGTAGTAGAACATTGTTGATTCAGTGAAGAAATATAGAGAAGCACATAGACAAATCCTGGTCCTAGCAATTGATTACAGGTATCCTCAGGTCCTAATTGAACTTTGCTGTTCCCTTTCAGCTCTCAAAAGGTTACAAATAAAGGGCTCACTTGCTAAATGTGCCTGAATATGGGAAGGGTGCTTGATTAGTATACCCAGACAGGCTGGGTGTTGATGGCTCATGCCTATAACCCTAGCTATTCAGGAGGTTGAGATCTGAGGAGACCCAATTCCAGCAGAAAAGTCCCTGAGACTTTTTTTTTTTTTTTTGGTCCAGTCCTGGGGCTTGAACTCTGGGCCTGGGCACTGTCCCTCAGCTCTTCAGCTCAAGGCTAGCGCTCTGCCACTTGAGCCACAGTGCCACTTCTGTCTTTTTTCTGCTTATGTGGTGCTGAGAAATCGAACCCAGGGCCTCATGCATGTGAGGCAAGCACTCTACCACTGAGCCAACGTCCCAGCCCCATCCCTGAGACTCTTCTCCAGTTAGCCACCAGAAAAACAGAAGTGGAGCTATGGCTTAAAGTGGTAGTGCTCTAGCCTTGATCAAAAAAGCACCCAGGTCCTGAGTTCAAGCCCCACAACAGACCAAAAAAAAAAAGGACAAATAACAGAAAGAGGTTACTTGGCACCCATAGGAAAACAGCACTTTAGACAACATCCTCAGCCATCTGCTACATCTTTAGAGGTACAGACATCGACCTTCATTAAACAGGGAGAATTGGGAACAAGGTGTGAGCAGATATGCATGATTAAAACAGTCCAGGTCATTGTGTAGTTAGAGGTGGTTGCTGGTAGTCTGATAGTCTATTATCAGGATTGTTCAAGCAGGGCTTTGTTCTAATAAGTTTTTTGATTGGTTGGTTTTGTTTTTTTGTTGTTGTTTTATGCTGGCAGTGGGCTAGGTACCTACCCTTAGCCTTTTTGCTCAAGGCTGGCACTTTACCACTTGAGTTACAGCTCTACTTTTGGCTTTGTGGTGGCTAATTGGAAATAAGACACAGACTTTTCTGCCCAGGCTAATTTTGAACTGCAATCCTCAAATCTGTCTCTTGAGTAGCTAGGAAGGGGTAACAGACAGGTCAGGTGAGAGTCCATGCCAGTAACATACTTGGGACCAATTTTAAAATAGAAAATTAGTGGAAATAGTAGAATCTGTTAAGTTTGGATAGATAAGTTTGATAAAAGCCATCATCTATGGGCCTGGTTCCCATGCTCCAGGGGGTCACATCTGCAATGACAGAAGACTTAAACTAGCTATGATGTCTTTTTTAAAAAAGGCCATTGATTAAACTGCATACAGCATTTAAGGATAACAGTTAAGATTGACAGCATTGTTAGAAACACTAAGACTTTATCATTACAATTAGGAACACATGAATATAAGCCTGTATTAGGGTGGTATCATTAATTTAGAGGATACTTAACTTGGTATGGTGTCTTCCCAGCTTTGTATCCTAGTCGGCTTACATATGTGAAGAACAGAAATACATCAAACGTACAAGCAAGCCAGCAACAGTTAGCTTTAAAGCTCTACATTCTGAATCACAGAAGGTACACAAAAGACCTTGACATAAACATTCAAGTGAACTTCGAACTCAGTTTCTTAGGTAGTCAAAACTCAACAAGATCAATAATACATAAGTAATTACTTTGATATTAAAGCCAAGTTTCTTGCAAATGTTACTAAGCAGTAAAATGAGAGGGGTTTAATTCATCAGAAACTCAAGAGAAAGACCAAGGAACTGTTCACAGTAGCAGAGTGGAACATCATTTAGAGTGGAACATCATTTAGAATGCCCTGAACAGACACATCTGGTTTCCTTTCACAGAGTTACATCCTTCAAAAGGGACATGAGACATTAAGGTAGGAAAAAATCAAGTGACATCAGGAAAAGCCTAGAAAGGCATTCAGGGCAAAGGCCCCCTCCATAGAGTTTCTACTTCCATCATTATGGCCTCTAGCAGTGCACATGCTGACCTCTGCACATCATGTCATGGCCCATTGCTCCTGGAATACCTGAGTGTGAACAGTGAGCTGGTTGGACCCCCAAGGTGTGAGTCATTAAAGGCACTCAGTCAGAGGGACTAAAGGATGCATGGAGAGCTTGTCCAGGCTGGGTCTGAACTTAAATGGCCTACACGTTATCCAGTGATCTTGAGCATTTCATAGTTCTTATCTAGAGATACCTTATTAACCCCTGCACAATGCCCCTTCCCTCCACCCCTGCCGTTCCTATCTTGGGATAAGTTCCTAGCAGAACTGCACTTACTCAATAAATCTCTGCCATTTTCTCTTTCTGAGTCTGCGGACTCGTTTGTTGAGACCACAAAGACAAAGGGTCCTATTCAGGAGTTGAGATTTTCCAGTATCATATTTGGGATTCATCCAAGACAAGACGAAGTAAGTGAAACAAATACTTTTTCTCCTGTTGCACTTTTTCTTTGGAAGCTCTTGTCTTCTGCTATTTAAACTATCAAAATACCAGGCACCTGTAGGCCATTTAAAGCCAACAGCACTGCCTCTAGTCTGAAAGACACAAACAACAGGCTTTCTAGGGCAAGCTCTGTCTGATCCCCCCTCCACCACAACATGAAGGAAATGGCAGCTTTGCCTCAGTTTCCTTTTGTGGAGTAAAGAACTTTAAAGGAATTGGTCAAGAACCATTCACTGACAAACAATTTTTGAGGAATTGGCTGTCAAACCTGTTGGATTCCCAAGATCCTGAAGTTTGCTTTTCTTTTTTTCTTTCGATCTCCTGCTTCCTACTATAAGCTATACGCCAGCTTTTCTCAAACCTCTTTCTCCTGAAATAAAGACCAAACCACCAGATTCTGTGGGCAAAAAATCAAGTTTAATTAGAAACTAGGTCTCTGACCTGCTCCTCAAGACCTGCTATTACGGTTTTTGTCAAATCTTCACTTCTGTCAAAACTATATAGAGACAAAATCTGTGCTAAAGTTCTTTTATTAGGGGATATTGGAAAATATTTTTACCCTAGACTGACTTAGATTTAAATGCATGTTTCTATGTCCAAAACTGCAATTACAGGGTTAAAGTATTACTCTTTGTATTCTATTCAAGGTGGTTTAGAAGCTTGTTATCTTTCTTTGATAGTTGTAGTGGAATGTAGGTTCCCAGATTCATGTTGAAGAAAAAAGAAAAACATGTTTAAAGGCATTTTTTAAAAAATACAGCTGGGAATGTGACTAGTGGTAAAGTGCCTCACATGCATGAAGCTGGATTTGATTCCCCAGTGCCACATTAAAAAAAAAAAAAGAAGAAAATAGCCAGATGCCAGTGGTTCAAACCTGTAAGCCTAGATAACTCTGAGGCTGAGATCTAAGAATCACAGTTTGCAGCTAGCCCAGGCAGGAAAATTTGTGAGACTCCAATTAATCAAAGAAAAAAGCTGGAAGTGGCTCAAGTGGTAGAGCACTAGCCTTAGCAAAAGGATTTCAGGGAAAACTCCCAAGCCAAGAATTCAAGCCCCAGGACTTGGGGAGAGGGCCCACGGGGGTGGGGATTGGGGGGAGATGGCAACACAGTTTATATAACATGAATAAAACAGGATTGTAAGGTTGTTGCAGAAGCTTTGTCATAAACTGTGTAAAGAAAAAGATGAGATGTAAAGAAAGGTGTAAATGAACATTTTTGGATAAGGGAGGATTCTATGTGCAATTACAGTTTTGTCCAGACATGAAAAAGGGGAACTGTTTGGAAAGCAGGGATTAACATGTGATATATAACACATGTCCCATCATGACGTTTCTTATTCCCATAGTACTGTGTGCTCCTAATAAATGCTGCTGCTCATAATGTTGTGGGTTCCTACTCAAACACTTCTTCCCATAATGCCCAGGGTTCCTGCTCAACCAATGAAAAGAGCCCAGGTAGTGCATGCACAAACCATCAAGCAATTAGTTCAAATCTGTCCTCTGAGTAAACTTCACTTTACTTCTCTTTGGGCCCCTTTCCAGATGGAGAGTTTCTGCTCCTTTCTTAAGGCTTTCTTCTTACTTCCAAATAGCCATACTCTGCTTTAAACATTTCCCTGCCTTTTAATTTTATTAAATGGGCAGAAAAACAAATATGGTCCTCTAGGGGGCATCAGATGATTAAAACCCAATGTTGCCTTGATGGATTTTTAAAAATTTCTTCTAAACAAGTGAAACTCTTAATATTTTGGTGCTCTGATTCAGATACAATTGTTTCTATCTTGAATATGGCTATTTAGGATATGTTATTGGTGGGTGGTCTCCTGCTCCCATGCAGGAAAAGGAAGTTAAAAGACTCAAAAATACCTGCTACCTTTGTTCTTTCTG